CTTTGGCAAACATTTCTCCCTTTCTTTCTCTCTGGTGAGAATTATATATAATAACGTTGTGAAAATGGAGAATTATTAGTTAGCGGCAATAAATTTATTAGGGCGATGAAAATTTTATTGGAGCTTTATGTTTTGATTACAGCGCGAAATGTTCATCTCAAGGGTCAACATTATTTTAAGGCGTTGTAAATTTTAGTACGACTGCAGAGAAATTATAAATTTTGTAGCATCAACTTAGGTTTTTACATCAATTTTATAGTTGATATCCTGGAAATTTTTTTAAACGGTTCTTAATTAATTGTTTCCAAACTTTTACTAGAAACGTTGGACATTAATAAAATCCATCAATTTTCCAAAAATATTTGTTTCAATCGTCTAAAAAAGACCTATCATAGAATCTCACTGTGTAAATTATGATTTTCTGAAAGTTCTCAAGCCTTTGACAAATTTCGAACTATTTTTCATTTTTTTTTTTTTATATTTTGGATTTTTTCCCATAGACCAAATATATTTATCTATTTATGTTTCTATCGATCAAAGGCGCCCTGTGCTGCAAGTTGATATAAAAACTTTTGATTAGGGATGGTTATTTAGTTGAAAAGCTCTCGTCCGCAACTAATATGTAATTTTTACAAAGTTTTGAAGAAGCCGCTCGAGAGTCTCGCAGCTGGAAGGAAAGTTTCTCTTACACGATTTCCAACATTCTCTCTGACAAGAACGTGTTGACGAAACATACATCGGACGTGTGGCGAGGGCACAAGTTAATTCCCCAGCCCAGCCCCACCAACTTGCATCGACCCCGATTTTTCTCTCCCAACTTTTAATTTCGCGCTGATTTACCGATATCCAGGGGCAAAAGAAACTCGAGAGTAATTTGTGGTTGTCAAATTCATCCATAGGGGGAAAAGTTAAGGGAGCTGATTGTTTTTCTTGCGTTTATTTGAAGGTCTATCTACGGCCGATCACGGCGTCGTTAACAGCGTTGGTGAGAGAGACGATTTCCGCTTTTTTTGCGAAGCCAGAATTGCTGTTTTCGAGGAGACACGAAGAGCAAGTTCAGAGAAGAATTTATGTGCGAGCAAAGTTTGCGCAGATTGATTGTTTTCTACTTCGAGAGACTCCAATTTATGAGCTCGTCTGGCTGCTAAGCAAAAAGTATGCAGTGAGTTCAAAGTTGTAGAGGCAGAACTTTCTACAAGTGGATTGATGCGGTTTGAGGATAAATTTGAAATAATTAATCAAGCACTTTTCAAGATATGTTATGATTTTGACAAGAGATAATAAGAATAATAAGTGAAAATAGCAAAAGTTTAAAATAAAACTATTTAAGAGTGAATTTACTTTTTATAATCCATTCCCAATTAACAAAAAAAAAACTTTGACACTTCAGAAAAGAGCTTATGATTATAGTTGGTTTCAAAACTTTTATTAGGTTTGAAAGAATTATTAACTTACTTTTTTAACAATAACTTTTTTAACTATCAAGAAACTTTCGGAGCTCCGTGAATAAAAGGAAAAGACTAGAGACATCATTGGGAGTTTTGATCATCTCTAATTAATTTTAATTTCAACTGATTTGAAATAATTAAAATTTCATTACGATTTCCCTTAAATAAGGCGCAAGGTGTTCTATTGAAAGCTAATGACATGACTTATTAGTTCACTTGCAAGCATGCGTGCTAATCTTCAAAGTCACTCAATTAAGTCCCGCTTTGAGCTCGTGTGCATCACAGAGACATTATAATTATATTACTAATTGAAACTCACTCGCTAAGCCGTCGACGCGATAATTTTCGCCTCGCACTGCTTGCTCTTTGTCTGTCGCAGAGTCAAATGTACGCGAATCTGATTCACCTGCCATTCCATCTGTCACAATGGAAAAAGGAAACCCCGCGATGAAATCGATTTTATCTTTTTTCGCCGTTCATTTTACGAGCCGCTCGTAAATTCCAAGGAGCGAAATCCGAGCACGTCCGAGCGTGAAATGGCAAAGAAATCGGGATCATTGTTGCGAGACGCCTTTTATTGTTGCATTTTCCGCGTGTATCAAAGTTTACATTCACGGAGGAGGTAGGCAAGCCCGCTCGTCTGCCTGCTCCGGCGGGCTGCATACTCTTGAAATGGATTGACTGCGGTTTTATGGCGTATCGTTGTCGGTCGGTCGGACAGCTGAAATGAAATTGTTTTACGACTCGCCGTACACGCGTCCGGCCAAGGCGTATGATTAATGTTGAGCCGCCTGTAATGGACGCTCCAATTCTCCGGGCGATCATTTTTTATCCTTAATTTACGCCTGTTGCATTTTTAATGGAGTTGCCTGCAAATATGAAGTTGGTTGGCGGATTTTTTTCTATACATAAGAACGTTGCAACAGTAGAAAAATTATGTTACTTTTTTTACTACCAATCATTAGTCACAAATGCTTCAGTAAAAGGATTTCAGAAATAATTCAGTCACATAATATGACGTAAAGAGGTTCGACAACTTCGTAAAGTAAAAATTCAATAACTGATATATAGTGATGCTTCAATGATAAGACAAATTTAAAATAAAATTTGTTTGTATTAGCAGAGAAATTTCACTTCTAATGTCTCCTGAAACACAAAGATAGCTGCATTGCGCAACTTGAAGAAGTAAATAAATAAGTAGTAAATAAATTTGCAACTAAATAACTCTTCCAATATTTGTTTATTAACAACTTTTTTTAAACGTTTTAACATTTATAAAATTCTTGAACATGCGATTTTGATTTTATCAAAAATTTCAGACCCTTAAAAGCTATTACAAATAATTTTAACAATTTTTTTGTTTTAATTCTTTTCTTGTTTAAAAAAAATCTTTACTCGTCTGAATGAAGCTGGGACATTTTAATAAAACACTAACTAAACTCAATGCTGGTTCAGAATTGTATCTTCTGCTACTCTGTAAAATTTGTGTATTATAGTTTTTTGCTGTTTTGATGGAATGGAAATGGAGAATAAATATTAATAACTGAATACATAGTTGTTATTCAAACGTCTAGTTTTTCACTCTTTTAACTCAAAGTAGTGGAATTTGATTGCTTTTCGCAACTAGGCCAGCTTTGCAATTGCTCTGCAAACGTGTACATTTGTAATAATTATAATTAGTATTAGCACATACGCACACCGAAGAACTTGCAGGGTTTCCATCATGAGCAGATCCTATTTCATCAACCGGTGAAATTGCAATAACGATCTCTTTGCTTTGCAAAATGCTTTTGTGCATTGCGTCGAGGGTCGCGAGTGAGTTTTGTTCCAACCATCGGCCGCACTTGTGCGAGATGCGTTTGACGGTATTATTCGATTGTCGAGCAAATTCCTGAAAGCCTGTTTTCAGATGCAAATTCCGAGGAGTCGTTTGCGAACCTGCTTTGCATTTGAGGGCAAAATCATAATGCGAAAAAGAGCTCCGAAGGGAATTAATTCCGCCGTTCGATTTGAAGTTTTGCAGACATTCAAAAGCCCGCGCTGGCAAGTTTCACGTTTGTTGCAAATCTCTTACAATTATAGAGCGATTCACATCTTTTTTAATTCATAAAAGAGTTGCACGTCTTGTTGAATAAGAAGATATTTTCTGCTATAAATAAAACTATTATTTTTATAGTCTCAGATAAGAAGGTTTTGTTTGAATTTTTTGCAATAGCTTTCATGTTTGAAATCATAACAGAATGTACCGTATGTTTAAAGAGGGTTGTTCACTCAAAAGCACCTTCTATAATGAGGGATTTTATTAGTATGTCAAGACACGTACACCTTCATTAATCACGCAGGTGTGGGTTACGTAACTCTTGCCATTGACGGCTGACGTTTCAAAATAGGGGTGGATGTTTTTTGGATACGATTTTTTTTATTACATTTAGTAGAGATAATTTGGATAAATAATGGTAGTAATAGGTGGCAAATTAGTTGTATTTTAGTCGCCGGCTTTTCAAATTAAAAAATTTTATATTTTTTCTTTCAGTGGAAATTAAGAAAATTTACTTTATTTTTAATTAGTTCTATAACCACCAATTTACCCCTCGCCACAGGTAATTGGGCAGCTCGATTTTTTTAAATCTTTGTCGCAACAATTTGATTGATCAAGAGGACTTTTATTTTCTTTAATATTTTTCAGGACAAAATTTATTTGGAGGTTCATAATGATTGTTTGTAAATTTATCAAAACACATAATAAATACATTTCTCAATGTTCTAAAATAAATGTTATAAAAAAATCTTTTCGTAATTATTTGAACAACGCATAAATATTAATTTATAAAAAATGCAAAACGGAAATTTTATTTATCATGCTTTTGAATGAAATTTCTCAGTAGATTTTTGTGAAAAGTCCGTAACAAAAAACCACAGAAAAATAAATAAAAACAAATAGTGCAATATTTTAAATCTAAACTTGTAAAAATAGTTTATTTTTAAGTTTTTTTGGGATAAAATCCAAACCACATCACTTGATTCTTGCAAAAAAAATTGCCTCTCATCAAAGTTCCGCCTTGACTGATACAGAGAATATTGAGAGAAAAATGCTGTATTTGATAAAATAATACTAAGCTTGCAAGGTTTTTTTTAAAGAATATATTAGTTATTTTTAAAATATGAAAATTATTTTATAGCAAAATGATACAACTTTTTTAAAGACCCTACTTTAGTTGAATAAAGGCCACACTTTTATTGATTTTGTAATAAATATCTTTCTATCTGTGCTATATTTGATAAATGGATATTATAGGAATTTTAAATTTTCAAAATAAAGGGACAATTGAACTTATTTACGCATATTAACTTAGAAAAATAGGCTTACTAGCTGATCAACAGTTAATCCCATGCATATTGTTGCATCTACCTGCTAATATAAAAATCGTAACAATTCTTTTTTAATGACCAACGTTTACTATCAGATTGAAAACCTAACTTTTATTTTTAATAATAGACCTATTTTTTTTCTTCGCAAGTTTACCGCTGTGAAATTAAAATTGGTTGTCCTACCTGTTGGGTGCGGTTGACGTGGTCGGCGGGCCAGTGGTGGAGGCGGCCACGGCCGCCAGGAGGCCGCAGCACCACAGCAGGCCGTTCATTGTTGCGCGCAACAATGAGCCGAGGAGGACTCGCCAGGCATGGTCGCAGTCGCAGAGACTACTGGAGAGCCCCTCCGCGCGCAGCCCCGACCGAATAACAGGTCTCTTCATTGAGCAGGGGTGGTGGAGGGGCGCATGTGCTCACACTTGCACTTTAGCCCTTCTTCCTTTTCCGCATATTCAATCTCGAGGTGCTGCAAAATGAGATAATTAGGTTAAAAAGGTGCGAGAGGGTCATGTTTTTAGCTAGTTTTACGTTAAATTACGTAAAAAAGAATATTTAAAAAAAATCTACTACTCTAATACCATTATTTACATAATTATATGTTTATTAAAAAAATATTATTTACTATTATATTCAAATTAAAAAGCTATCATAATGATTTTGGTTTTTTACTGCAAATCACTATATACAATCAACTAAAATTTTGTTGAAAATCAAAATTCTATAAAAAATATTTTATTCTTTTAAGAAAGTCTAAAAATAATATCACAATTTTTTTTCAATACAAATTAAGACCAAAATCTTTTTTCGTAAATTTTGTTATTTATTTTTAAAGATTTTTATGAGACCACCGCAAGGAATATACTAATTATACGCTCAGATTGGTAAAAGTAAAAAAAATGGCTACGTTCAGTGCCGTTCAATAGGGTCAACTATTATGTATTAAATTTTCCTCACAAGCCAAAAAGCAATATGACAGGCGGGAACGTAACCAATTATGTAACATGAAAAACAAGTGGAAATTTGGCAATATCAGTCAGAAAAATGGGACTTCAAGCCTACCTGGGCATTAAGAACACTTCGTTGCATTTGTCAGCAAAGAGCGGAAGTCCTCCATCGGCTCATTTTGGCGAGACAGGGCACCAAATAAAACTAGGATTAGGATGTGGATCTCGCCTTCATCATTTTTGTGCTCTCGTCAACTGACTGTCAAGTCAACAGTGTCAATAACTCAATACTGTCAACTCGATTTGGTCATTTTTTGGTGTTAACTGTTATGTAGGTGGGGGAGCTGCTCACCGCAGTCACCTGAGTCACCACCGCGAGAAACAGAAACATTCCTCCCTCTGCTGCTTTTCGACGCTTCGACGAGAGCGAACAAGTCTCAGCACGGGGAAGAGCAGACGATTCACAAGAGAAAGAGAAAAAGTGAAAAAGACACCGCTCCGTTAATTACATAAGTCTGCGCTGGATTTTAAAGTAATAGTTCAACATTGATGATGATGAACTGGAATTGATGAATAAAATTTTATATTAGAAAAAATTCTTTTTTAGCTGCTCTGCAGTTTGTTATAAAAATGTGATGTGTAATTAGAACAGAGAGTTTTTGGTCTTTTTTTTTAGAAAAATTGGGAAATTTAGCCACGTAAACGCTTTTTCTTATCTGTATTTGGACTCGATGGCAAAATAATTTTGCTTATTCAACTGTGGAAGAATCAAAGGATTTTTTTCAAGAATTATTATTAAATAAATTAATATATCCGCATAGGTTTTTTCTAAGATAAAAATTTATTTAAATACGATAGATTTATGTTATTTTTAATTAAATCCAGCGCAGACTTAAAATAAATGGTGCGGCGTCATTTTCACAACCTTTTCTCTTTCTCTCGTGAATCTACTCTCATCCCTGTGCTGTTCTGACCTGTTCGTTCTCGTCAAAATCAAAGCAAAGCGCTGAACAGCAGCAGTCGCACCAGCCAGCAGGATATGAAGGGAGGAGGGGAGAGTTGCAAATAAAAGTCACAGTCACCTCTAGATGCCTCGGCGGCCCTCATATCTTGCCAATTGTGACTTTGTGACTATGATGAATTGTGAGCCGACGGAGGATTTCGCTGACCTGCCGAGGACCCCAAAATGGACCAGACTGACCAGAGACTCTTGCCATGCCGCCAAGGTAGGGCAAAGCCACGCAATTAATTTTAATAAGCGCTTGGGACTTTAATTCGGGAAAATAACAATTAATGCGCGTTTTGTCCGCTGCTTCGACAATGATAAATGAAAATGCAGACACTTTATAGCCGCTTACAGTGGCTGCTTGGTAATTTTTGCTCGGATTAAGCCTATTTTTACTGTATTTTTTCATAAGTTTTGAAATAAATTTGTTTACTTTCTCCAATGATTAAATACTTATCCATTGATTTATAAGGGTTTATTAACAAATCCATCGAAATCCATGGTTTTAGCTTTTAGCAAAATCGTTGAAGTTTTTGCCCAACAATGAAATATCTTTGAATGTAAATTTTTTGTGACAATTTGGAATTTAGATAAATTATGCGAAATTATGAACAATAATAATCGTAATAATAGCAGCAAAGGAAGAGATAAATATTGACAATTTTATCCCCCCCCCCCCCCCGACTACCCTCCTCTACGTAGTTTTCGCGCCATTTGTCAACAAAACGTCCGCTGGGCCAGTAGGTGGCGTTAGTGTCCACAGATCGGCCATGTGTTTGCTTGCTAAAAATTTCAAAAACAAGTTTGGAAATTGCAGCGAGTTTTGTTGTTTTTATACATCATTTTGCAATTGAATTTTGCCTCCGAATTTTCCAGCTCCATCCCTATTGTTCATCGGTAAGTTTCAACATCGTTCCCATTCAAATTCAACTTTGAAACACATTTTTCGACGACTGGACTTTTGCCGACAAATTTTAATTTTTTGTATTTTTTAGCAAAGAGTCTTTTGATCACACGTTCTTTTCCTGATTTTCTGCCAGCGATGTCGGAATTTAGAGTTTGTGAATCTCCCGGGTGCAACGCTGCTTCGAACCTTCAGTGTCCGACTTGCGTGAAACTCGGAATTCAAGGCTCTTATTTTTGTACTCAGGTAAACTTTCAAGTCCGGGTATTTTAATCATGATTAATTTTGCATTTTGTCTCTTCAGGATTGTTTCAAAAGCAGCTGGAAAACGCACAAATTACTCCACAAGCTTGTCCGTAAGTTTGAAAGAAAAAAATTGAATTGTGGCAAAGTTGAAATTTTATTTTCAGAAGGAAAGGATGAAACCTTGACCAATAATTCAAGTAGCGTCTACGACCCTTGGCCTTACTTCAAATTCACAGGTATTTTGTGTAAATTTTTCCTCTCGTTTGTAAATTAATTAATATTTATTGTAGGAAAACTTCGGCCGTTTCCGCAGTCGTCGACCAGGACTGTTCCCTTGCAAATCCCAAGACCAGACTACGCCGACCACTTCAAAGGTCACCCTGTTTCTGAGCAGAAGGAGAAAAACAACCACCAAATCAAAGTTCTAAACGATGAGGAAATCGAGGAGATGAGAGTTGCCTGCAAGGTCAGACCGGTCCCATTGTGCTTTCAAATTTTTATAAAATTCGTGAAAATTTCAGTTGGGCAGAGAAGTTTTGGATGAGGCAGCCAAAGCACTGAGCGTGGGTGTTACGACAGATGAGGTGGACAGAATCGTCCACGAGGCCTGTGTCGAAAGGAACTGCTACCCTTCGCCACTCAACTATTATCAGTTTCCGAAGTCTTGCTGCACCTCGATTAACGAAGTGATTTGCCACGGAATTCCAGACCACCGACCTTTGCAGGACGGAGACATCTGCAATGGTATATTATTTAAATTTAATAGCTTCTTTTTCAAAAATGTTGAATAGTTAATTATAAACTGAGAATTTAATTTATTTTTATTTTTTGTGGGGAAACAATCAGTTAATTTAAAGAATTTTTTTAATTAATTTAAATACTCTAAAAATTCTTAAAACTGTTAAGTTTACTCCTCTAAAACTCTATGTGCAATTTTTCTAAAAATTATTTTGAAATTGATTTTAACAGTCGACGTCACTGTTTATCATCGAGGCTTCCACGGTGATTTGAATGAGACTTTTTACATCGGAGACGTCAAAGATTCGGGGAAGAAGCTTGTTAATGTGACATGGGAGTGCTTGAGCAAAGCAATGGATATTGGTAACTACCTTTGTTTGAAAATTAAGGTTTTGTATTTTAATCAAAATTTATGCAGTTAAGCCTGGGGAGAAATACAGAGAGATCGGAAACATTATCCAGAAACATGCGCAGGCCAATAATTTCTCCGTTGTCCGGAGTTACTGCGGCCACGGAATTAACCAGCTCTTCCACACGGCACCAAGTGTTCCTCATTATGCAAGTGCGTAAAATCATTTAAATAACGCATTAGAAATACCACTTTTACTCCAAGTAATAAAACTAATTTCTAAATTAATTTTCTAAAAAAAGAATTATTAAATCTCTAAAAGTTCTCTAAACTCCAATAATATGAAAAAGCAGATCTTCTAACTAGACTTATTATTCTTAATTGTTAAGGAATTTTTTCAAAGTCTCGTTATACTATAAATTACTTTTTAACTTAGCTTCAAATCTTTAAATTCAAACAAAATTTTAAAGGAGCCAAATTTTTATAATCTTGTTCCCATGTGGAGAAATAAGTTATAAAAAATATTTTTTCAGAGAATAAAGCGATTGGCATTATGAAGCCCGGCCACTGCTTTACAATTGAGCCGATGATTTCCGAAGGCTCGTGGCGAGACGAAATGTGGCCCGACAACTGGACTGCGGTCACTGTGGATGGAATGCTTTCGGCCCAATTCGAGCACACTCTGCTTGTGACTGACGACGGAGTCGAAGTTCTGACGCAGCGCCCTGGAAACCCCCTGCCCCATTTCCTGAGCCCCTAATTTTGTATTTTGCAAGCAGATTAAAGTGGAAACCATGTTTTTTGGTTAAATGTGCTTGTTTGGAAAGTAAATACGCATCCTTATCACCTCAACTTCCGCCTCATTTTAGTTTTATCTATTAAAGTAAATTTTCTACTGATAAGGGGAGGAACTGCACGCCACCTGTATGGTAATTTTCACTCACAGACATGGTGGTTTTCAAAGGACTGAGCAGCAATAATTTTTATTGTTCACTCTTTGGGATTTTAAATATTTTAATACTCTATTGGCTGCTTGCATTTACCAAACTTTCCAAAATAATTATTGAATCTTTTCCAATAGAAGGTATTATTATAATTTATTTTAAGTATTATTAAAACTAATGGAGACTTTCTGAAGGAAACATACTTGTTAGAGAAAGAATGGAATGCCCCAAAGTTCCAATCATCACCGTCAGAGATGGGGGAAGAACGGGAAACAAAATTCGCCAATATGCCACCGTGTGGGCCTTGTCTAAAAAACTTAATCGACCTGGTTTTGTACCCCAAGCCACTTTAGACTGGTTGGGACCTGTTTTTCCTAATCTAGGCCTTCCAGCATTGGAAAAAATCGACCACTGCAATTTGACATTCCAAAACAACAGAACTTTTGACTCCGTTGACCCTGAAAAAAATATCCTTCTGCCTAGTAATGTAAATAATTATGAAGTTCTGTTGTCCTATTTGGATGAGATCTGGGACGAGTTCAAATTTGACGACAGACTTGTATCGATGGTCAACAACACGATTAGGTCCCTTGGTGGAGAGGATCATGTTGTGGTTGGTGTGCATGTGCGGAGGGATGATTACTTGATATATTTAAGACAAAAAGGAAGGCAGCCAGTGACACATCAATATTATTTGGTTATTTGACGTTTTTTGTATTTAAAAAAAGCTTCACTTATTAAATAATTTTATATCTTTAGGATGCAATGCAATGGTTTAGGAGGAGGTTGAATGAACCCCTGCTTTTTCTGATTGTCAGTGATGACGTCAAGTGGTGCGAAAGACATTTGCTTCTAGCCAAGGATGTCAAGATTGCTGCCCATGACACTTTCCACGACTTGGCCCTGCTGGCACTTGCAGACCATGTCATCATTGACTATGGAAGTTTTGGGATGTGGGGCGCCATTATGAACAAGGGCCTAACGGTTGCTTTGAAAGGGACAGGCAAGGACGCATTAATGGCCAAGTACAAAAAGTGGCACACTCTCGATAGTGGAAAGTACAAATACCAGAAATGAGAATACTCGGTTTATTTAATTATGATAAAAAATATATAATTTTAATTCAAAAATAAAAGGGTATTTGTTTTTACAAAACTGCCCTCTCAGATCTTGAATAATCTGCCATTAAAGAATAATTAACTAAGGTTCCAGAGGAAAATCTTGTTCTTCGGTGGAAGGGTTGTTCCTCCAGATGTAGTAATTGAGGGCAGTGGCCAGTGAAAGCCACAGCATGTAGGGCACCATCAGGTATCCAGCAGTCCGATTGATTCTGAACATGGCAATGGACGCCACTCCGGCTGTTCCATACAGAAGGACGATATCAATCAATCCCTTTAATTAAAAGAAAAACATTGCATTAAAAATAATATATTTTTATTAAATTTTCTTACTCCACCAATGCTGTGGAGGCCAAAGAAAATGGGCGCCCAGGCCCAGTTCAGGATGAGCTGAGCTATGTAGAGGGCCAAAGCTGTCCTTCCACGGCCAGTGAAGCCGCCTCCGTCCCTCCACACCAGATAAGAGGCAAATCCCATTGCGGTGTACAGGACTGTCCAAACCGGACCAAAAGCCCAGTCAGGAGGAGCCCACGGTGGCCTGTTCAGGGTCTGCAAATTTTTATTATATTCATTTAAATAAATTGCAGGTTCCATTTCCCGGATGCAGTGAGATTGTAAGTCAAATAAGGAGGGAGATGACAAATGACGAATATTAACTGACCTTGTACCAGCTCTTGGTGGCCTTTATGGTAAATGGTGTGGCGGCCCATCCGCCTATATTTGGTAGAATCGACGCTCCAATAGCTTCCCAGACGATCGGCATTTTTCTTTCTGCGGATAAGAGGGAAAACTATTAAATTCACAAATAATGATACAATTAACAATAATTAAACTACTAAATAAAAATAATGAGAAAAATATAAAAATTTTGAATAACATAATACAAAAAAGCTATTGGATTTTATGTTATCGTGTGTGTTACATAACAATTTTTGCATGAATATTTTATGAGCTGTTTTACAAACACTGCGATTGTGTAAACCATTTAAAAAATAAATAATTATTGATTATTGCATGTTTGGTTAAATCTATAATCAAGTTGAAATCAATAGTTTGAAAATAAACCACCACTTTTACATTTGTTTTGCAGCAATTATTAATGATGGCCAATTTTATTAAAACAAAGAGATAAAAAGTGAGTAGCGGAGCTGCTGATAAAATTGAGAATAGAGAAAATGAAATTAATGTGAAGTCCACAAAAATTGTGTGTAATGTATTTATATAAAATGGTTTAAATGATATACCTCTTTTGGACGGGCGCAGTAGTTGATGATGAGAGTGTCAACGAACGTCAGAGCAGATTTTGTTACCGTTTTGTGGTTATTATATTGCTAGCTAGAATAAGCTGGATTCTCAGATATCCCCACCTTTGTTTACATTTTTCTTTGGTCGCGTGTGTGTGTTCACGTTCGGCTGTAAAACGTGCGCCATCTGTCGGGCTTAGCATTTTCGTGGTATAATATTTTATGCAATGACGAGTTTAGCGCACACTGTCGGCACGGAGCGCTTTAATGTCATTTTGTACACAAATGGATTTTACACCTGTGTAAATAACATAATTTGATTTAGTTTTTTTCAAAACAATGTATAAAAAAATTTCCATTTGAAGCTTCTTCATTTCCTTTTTGCACAGCCCGGAAAAACTAAATTTGATAAATATAATACAATCATTTAAATAAAACTTGCCTATCATAGCTATTTATTAATTGGATAACTGAATTTTAAAAATCTTTGATATTGTATTTGTGCCTTTATGGAGTAAAAAAATATAACTTTATAAAAAATTTCAACATTCGCAGAAACTAAAAAGAGCATTTCTTATTACAAAACTAAATGCTCTTAAAATTAAAAGAAAAAAATCACTATTGAGAATTCTGACAAAAGACTTTTTCCTCAGTCTTTCCGCGTGTCCTTTTTAAATGAAGGGTTATTTTTCCAGATTGAGTAATTGAGGGCAGTGGCCAGTGAGAGCCACAGCATGTAGGGCACCATCAGGTACCCGGCGGTCGGGTTGATTTTGCCCATTGCAATAGCCGCGGCTCCAGCTGTTCCATACAAAAGGACGATATCAATCAGTCCCTGCGTATTTTCAAGAAAAAAAAATTTCAAAGGTTATGAATTATTGAAAAACGAAACTATGGTTTTTTGATCTTACTCCACCAATGTTCCCAAAGCCGAAAAAAATGGGCGACCAGGCCCAATTGAGTGCAAGCTGGGCGCCGTAAAGGGCGAGTGCAGTTTGACCCTCGCCACCAAAACCTCCCCCGTCACGCCACACCAGGTATGAGGCGAACCCCATTCCAGTGTACAGGGACGTCCAGACAGGACCAAAAACTCGGTCAGGAGGCGTCCACGATGGCTTCTTCATGGTCTGCAATTTTTATTCAAAATTAATCAAAAAACTTTGGTTTTTCCGTTAAGTTTTTTTTTTTTAAATCCGTGGAGAATTATAATATTAGAAGAGGACAAAAGAAGTATTAAAACTAACTTTGTACCAGCTCCTGACAGCTCTCATGGTAAATGGTGTGGCGGCCCATCCGCCTATATTTGGCAGAATCGACGCTCCAACAGCTTCCCAGACGATCGGCATTTTATTTCTGCAATTAAAAGATAAAAGATTGAATTCATAGGAAATAATGAGCTTTAATAAAAACTCTTACATCACAAAATAAATAATAAATTAAAAATAAAATAAAAAGGAACTAATTTTTTATTTTTAAATATGTAAATGATTTAATTGAGAAGATCAGGGGGAATTATCATGAGTTTTGTTACGTAACCTATTTTTGCATATTTCCGAAAAACTGCGATTGTGTAACCACGTGAGAAATAAATAATTAGACAAACGTTTAAATAATTGCATGCATATTGGTTCAATCAGAGCGTCCGTTATATTAAATTTAATGCTCTTCTGCTTGAATTACCGTGAATTACAGTAAATGCAGAGAGGATATTAACAAAACAGTGATTTTTAAAATTGCTTTTGTTTCTGTAGCAAAAATTATTTATGTCCGGTTTTATATAATTTGTGCAGTGAAAAAAATATCTATGCCAAAAGTGGCCAAAAGAATTAGAGACGGCTCATCTCTGCTGATAATAAAATTGAGAATAATATGAAAATAAAATGTACTGTGTATTACATAACTGTTGTTTGCTATTATAATGGTTGAAATTATACCTATTTTGGACGAGGACAGTTCAACAGTTGATGATTCGAGTTTCCAGGTGTCAACGAGTGTCAAAGCTAAAGCGACAGGTGACAGCGCGTTTCGTGGTTTAGCTCAATTCTCAGAGATCCGCACCTTTGTTTACATTTTGCTTTGATCGCGTGTGTTCAAGTTCGGCTGCAAAACGCCATCTGTCGGGCTTTGCATTTTCGTGGTATATATGCGCATAAATAATGTAAATGTACATATATAATGAGGATCTAGCTCGCGCTCGCACTGTCAGCAAGGAGCGCGCTTTATGTCGTTTTGCACACAAAATGGAATTTGCACTTCTATGAATAATCCACTTTACTTTATGCTTAACCCAAAAAAAATTTAATGTTCTTTTCCTGTTATCACCATGGGCCCAAGGAATAAATTTGAATAATATGTACAAATTTTTAAAATAAAATTGGCTGAATTTCCTTTTAAATTGGATTTGTATTAAATTTGTGCCTTTATACATTAATGTAATTTTTTTATTTTTGATATAAATTTTTCAGCATGTGAAAAAAATTGAGGGTTTTTCTTTTTTACTTAACTGCTCATTAAAATTAAAAAAATATATATATTGGAATTCTGAGGAGACTTTCTCAGTCTTTTCGCTCGTCTTTTTTGGAAGGGTTGTTTTTCCAGATTGAGTAATTGAGGGCAGTGGCCAGTGAGAGCCACAGCATGTAGGGCACCATCAGGTACCCGGCGGTCGGGTTGATTTTGCCCATGGCAACGGTAGCGGCTCCGGCTGTTCCATACATTAGGATGATATTAATCAGTCCCTGAATTTTGAAGCAAATAATTTTCAGTCAGAAAGGGGATTTGAAAGAAAATAATTTTCCTTACTCCACCAATGTTTTGCCTCCCAAAGAAAATGGGTGACCAAACCCAGTTGATGGCGAGCTGGGCGCCATAAAGGGCGAGTGCGGTTTGACCCTCGCCACCAAAACCTCCTCCGTCCCGCCACACCAGGTACGAGGCAAACCCCATGCCAGTGTACAGGGATGTCCAGACGGGACCAAACACCCAGTCAGGAGGCGTCCATGATGGCTTCTTCAGGGTCTGCAATTTTTTAAGCAAAATAAAAATGCTGATTTTGAGAAGAAAAAAAACTACATTAAATATAACGAGAAGAAACGGACCTTGTACCAGCCCCTGACAGCTCTCATAGTAAATGGTGTAGCGAGCCATCCGCCTATATTTGGCAGAATCGACGCTCCAATGGCTTCCCAAACGATTGGCATTTTGGCTGCGAAAGGACGGATATTTTTTTGCTAATTAAGCAAAAACAGTCAACTATAATGATTGCCAGCTAGATTAATCTAATAATCCAATTGGACACCAAAAATAACTTTAATTTTTAATGATTATGAAAGCCTTTAAAAAGTGTTACGTAACTATATTGCATTATCTTTGATGAGCAAATATGCACAACGTAAAGCGCTATTTATGTAATCTATATGAAGATTAAAATATTATGTAACAATTAGGTAATTCACAATTAATTTAAAAAAAATTATAATTCACTTAAAACTTAAAATATATAAGGCTATATTATAAATTTGCAGTATATTAACATAGTAGAATATAATTCGCTGGATATTAATAAAATAAAATTATAAGCATTAAAAAGAGGAAAGAAATTTGTTGTGTTCGTACTGCCTGACATAAGGCTATGAAATTAAAAAATTCTTTATAATTATATTTCTGCTCCAATTTTGCAATAGCCCATGAGCTACACTCAAAATTCGCTATCCCCATTATGTTATTAAAAATAATTTTGATAAAATTACAAATTATATTTAATATGAAAAAATAAGAGATTTGTGAACGTTGAGTCTACTTGATATAATAGCAAAGAGAATAAAGTGTTGATTCAGAATCAGAATAATGGACATGTTAAAGTAAATTTAGTGTGTGCGTCGTGTAAAATTATGTACCTTTTTGAGAGCAAGGAGTTGGGGTTGACTTTCAGTGAGTGTCAGAGCCGATCTTTTTCTGGCTTTTATATTAACGCCGATATCTACTGGATGCACTTCTCGGGCCCCCGCCTTTGTTTACATTTTTTACTGTTTGCGTCTGCACTCTGCGGTCTGTTCAAGTCGGGTTACTTCGACATTGTCGATCTCACCCGAACACTAAATTTTTACTAGACAGAGATACATATGAGAGATGCGTTCGCGTTCCCACACACCGGCGATGTTAAACATCTCAAGTCAGGTTGACTATTTATTATTTTAGATGCAAGATTATATTATACAATTTTCATTTTTTTTCGTAATTCACTAAAAAAATTGTTATTGATAGGTTTGCATACATATAATATTAAATTTTTTTCAATTAATTTTAATTATAAATAATAAAAATGTTTTATAAATTAAATGCCAGTGGGCAGATGAAAATTTTTATATTTAATATTTTGCTAAGATTTAAGTAAGAAATTTGTTTTTCAGAAAATAAATTTGCTTCGATAAGTCATTATAGTGAAACGCAGACGCCTTTTTTACAAATATTCATTGTTGTTCATAGATTTTTTAATGATGCAACTCTTGTGTAACGAAATTTAATTAATTGGTGCAATTCAAACAGTTTCATATTGGAAAATTGGAATTCCAATTCACCTATTTATGAAAAGAAAAGAATATTTTTAGTTTTTATTTATACTAGCACAGGTTAGGCTTTTGGTATTCAATGTGCGCGTGCTTAAATTTTACTAATTTTAGATACAAATAAAATGCTTGTCTCTCACTAAAAGTTAATATAACTTTTTTATCTCTAGTTATTTTTCTTCTTCTTTTTCGGAGGATTGTTTCTCCAAAGATAAAAGTTGATGGACGTGGCAAGTGTGAGCCACATCATGTAAGGTCCCATGAGCAAACCAGCCGTCAGGTTGACCCTTGCCATGGCCACCGAAGCCACGCCGGCCGTGCACCACAAAAGGGCGCCAATAAAGAAACCCTAAATGTAATTAAAAAAAAATCACGATAAAGATATTTATGCTTAAAAAAAGCTCACCCCTTTAACGCTTTCCATGCCAAAGAAAATTGGTGACCAAACCCAGTTGATGGCGAGTTGAGCTCCATAAAGAGCGAGTGCGGTTTTGGCCTCGCCGCCGAAACCACCCCCGTCTCGCCATACCAGGTACGAGGCGAACCCCATGCTTGTGAACAGAAAAGTCCACACCGGACCAAAAACGTACTCAGGCGGGGTCCACCATGGTTTCACTAAAGTCTAAATAAAAATCTTTATTAAAATTAAAAAAAAATGAATATTTAGGACTTAGTAATGCACCTTGTACCAGGTTTTGATTTTTTTCAGGGTGTACGGGGTGCTGACAAATCCGCCAAGACTCGGCAGAATAGACGCTGCGACTGCTTCCCAGGTGAGCTGCATTTTATTTTATACACTCCTAACTAAAAAAGACGCACTAATCAACAAATCACACAATCCAAGGAATAGGTTTTATTAAATTTTATCTTCAATTATAAGCCCAAAAGATGTAGCGCCGCATTTATGAAGAGTAAAAAATTCATTTCGATGAGAAAGAAAATGTAAGCTAAAATAATCCATTGACCATTTGAATATCAAAAAATCTATAATTTTTTTCGTCTCTGATCATGTCTAATGCACATCATAAATTTCTATAAACAAATCTTACGTAATTTTTGTGTCAACTCCAATAAAATAAGTGACGGTGGTCTCTTCGGATTGGGACCGCGCGGTGCTAAAATGCAACTGACGGCTTTTTTAAAGGCCGCAGTTTTATCTCAAAGTGACGCCGCCTATTCGTTGCGAGAATAGCGTTTTTACAACATGTGCCGTTATACTAAATTTAAGTTGATTATGTAACTAACTGAACGCGGTGCATCTCTCTCTGGATGTGAAGTGGGAAAAAGACACGTTGTTGTAATGCCCAGTGACCGCCTCTATTTTCGTTCCAATATATTATTGTAAATACTGTGTTTTCAAAAGTGGCCACTCAAAGACTCAAGTCAACGTATGCAACCCACCAACCCATGGCACGTGTTTCTTTGTCGGATATCATGTTTCTTATTTTTGTTTTTAAATGGCACCTCAGGTATCAAAAACAAAATGATCAATTGCTCATAAGTTTTCACATTTGCTCATTGAACAAATTATTAATTATAATATAAATCGCAACTTTAAACACATAAAGGACAAAAAGAATTAGTTTTTATTTAATTAAATAATTTTTTGTAGAGCAAAATGACGAATTGTGCATTTAATTTATTTACTATTTTCACATGATTTTGCAGACATTCAAGATGAAAGTTTTTTATTCCTAATTTTTTTTGATTTGTCAGATTTTTTACTATATTGCCCAAACCCGGACATAATCAATTTTGAGCGCAGTTGTGCCGTCTGTCATCCAAGTCGGTTCCCAATCAGCGCGCTTACTCCAAAAATCTTTAAAAGCCTACAAATTTTTTCCATATTAATATGTAATTAAAATTAATAATAATAAATAAACGTACAGTGTTTGGTGATGCATTGCTCCAGGGCTTAGGTTTGGGGTTGGAAATTCCGTCAGGGAAAAAGCCAGAAGTGCCTCCAACCGCGACGTTTAAGATCAAGAAAAACTGAAGGAAAATTTTAGTTTTGAAAAAAAGTCATGAAATTCTACTTCTTGGTCGAATGGAGCCATTTTTGTTCCGTTGGCCCAGAGGTTAGTTAAAGAGGAGCTGAAATTTCCAAGCTGCCAAAAACCACCAGCCGGAGGGGTCACGCGGCCCGTCTCATTATTATCAATGCTGAACTTGACGTAGTCTATCAATTTTTTTATTATTTCCCAATTTCAGTTTTTTTCTCTTTTAATTATTGCCAGCGGTCCACTCGACTTGGTACAGGTGGAAATCCTTGTCGTAGCCCATTCCCTTGGCCGTGCTCTTTTCCCAGCTGGTCTTCATGAACTTGTTGTTGCCGGGGTCGGGACCCCAGTGCATGGTCGAAGACGACAGCTCAACGCCGATGTTCTTGCCGCCGTTGAAGGAGCCCAGGTCGCGGTTGCCGCGAGACTCCATGATGTCGATTTCACCAGAGCGCGGCCACTGGCCATACGCGCTCTTTTTCGGCATCATCCAAATTGCTGCACAGATAATAAAATAGATATAAAAGCAAATACAGAAGATAGAATCCGACACCATATTTAATAATATTAATAAAATTAAAATTAGAAAAATGGGGATCAATATTATTATAATTTTTGTTTAGGAATTAATTTTGTTTAATTAAACCTGGCCAAATCCAGTCTCCTGCAGGCAATCTTGCTCGAACCTCAACTTTCCCATATTTGAAATTGAAAGTGTCAATGGTATGCAGCCGGGCAGAGGTGATGGGAGGGAGGATGAGGCTGGTGGTGCCCGTTCTGTTGCAGCCGTTGTTCCAACTCGCGGTACAACTTTGAAATTATTTATTTGATTTTATATTTACTACAAAACTTTTATTCATCTAAAACGAATATTTAGACTTTTTTAAATTTTCGTGTGTTGCAAAAAATGGTTTCAGTTAATTTTTATTTTGCATAGGAGAAACGCACAATTTGCCAAGGTTGAGGTTTCCGGAGGACAGGAAGGCCTCGCTGTAGGCCTGGGACAGGAAGTAGGGCCTGATGCCAAGAACGCCGCTTGTGACGACGGTGTTGACTGACGCGTTTTTCGGTGCCACAGAACCGTTCCAGTAAACTTGGAACTCGTTGTTCTGCAGAAAATTATATATGCATAATTCAATTAATTCATTGAAATTTTAAAAAGCTACACCAAAAAAAAATTATATTTTTTTAGTAATTGTAACAATGTGAAAAAATAAACAAAAACAATAATAAAGTGGTCGCACCCCTCCACCCGCCATGGTGACCTCGTTGGTCCACTTGAGCGGGTCTATTGTGTTGAACAGGTCCTCGAAAATTAATGTTCCTTTGCAAATGGTTCCTTTGAAAGTGCTGGAAGTGGTGATTGACGCAACGCAAGCCTTCACCAAAGCTATAAATTAAAAAAAATAATAATAATTTTTGTTAAATAATTGTATTCATTTAGTGGTAGAAGTTCACGATCAAGGGTTGATTCATAGTGACTTGAATTTAAATTCAGCTTTTCCTCGATGGGTTTTTGTGAGTTATTTATTGTTTAAGAAAAAAGGGCAGAGAATTGTTTTTTCTTCAACAATAAAAACTCGCAAAATCCATATATAGAGGAAAACCTAATTTAAATTCAAAAATCACCATGTATTCATTTACATTAAACTTTTGATAACTTTTATTGAATATTTGGAATATTTAATAAAAAATTACATGGTAAAATTGAATTCAAATTTGAGATGGTCAGATTTTATTTGATAAAATCACATGAAATGAAAATAAACATTGAAAAATTTTAACACAAAAATGAAATAATATTCTCTTTACTAACGCTTTTTCTGAGCCTCAGCACCAGATAGAAACATCGTCAAGATGAAAATTAAAAATTTGAAATTCATAATCATCTTTTTTCTGGAGCGCTCTGTGCGTCCACGGCGTGCGGGAAACAGATGCGATCTGATGGAATTGGAACTGTTTTGCGTAACATAAAGTTCAACAGGAAACTTCAGCTGGTTGCTCCATTGAAATTTACGACGGTAACATTTTGCTAGTCAGGAAATGGAAAACGTCATTTAAAATGGTAAACTGTATCATATGGTACGGGAAACTAGGCCTGCCTTCCTAATGAACAAAATAAATTAAAGGAAATATAAAATTCAAAATTATTATATTACTTTTCAATACAATAATTTAAATATATTAGATTTTTGGATGTTTATTAAAAAGATTAATAAATTTTATTACACCTTTTAATTTTAAATAATTAAAAAATAATAGTACTTTCAATAAAACTTACAAAATTTATAAATCTGCATCTAATGCGATTCAGTACAATCTGGAATGTCCCATAATTATTTTTTGCTCAAATATTTTGTAAAAAATAACAAAAATCACATTTACATTTTCTTCAATGCAATTTCAACGCGTGGTTTTTGCGCCGATCGAGATCGAAGTGGATTTGATTCTCGTCGGTGCCGTGCGGTGTCGCTTGCTCTGCGCACCCATTCAACTATTTTGCCATTTGCCAGCTGTTGAAAGAAGAAAGAAAGAAAACCCTGGCCTTGGCTGCGCGTTCGTTGAAAGAAAAGTGTGATAATTATCGCGCAAAATGCAGCATTTGCAATGAGCAGTGCTCCCTGACTTGCGGGGATGGAGGCGCTCGTGGGCGTGGCCAGGGACGTGGCCGTCGCCCTTTTGGCCCTGGTGCTGCCCCTCTCGCTCGTCCTTTTGCTCGTCCTGCTAGGTAAATAATTTGGCAGGGGAACACAGTCTTTGAGTCCGTCGCGGGGTTGATGACTCACACCCTATATTTACCGTTTAAGTCACGTCCGCAGCTGTAATAACTCATAATAACTGCAGCTATGATTGTGCCGTTTTATTGGGCAGAAAATTAAAAAATTATTTTTTTTATTTATTTTACTAAAATATTGTTTATATTATTGATTGCATGTTATTCCAAAAAAATCCTGGATTTTTGTTGCAAATTTTCCAATTTTTATTTTATTTATTTGATGGACGATTTTTATTTATTTTTTAAATACCAATTTTTCACCATTAATCCATTTTGACAGGCTGGTACTTGATGTGGAAGTTGTTCCTGTCTCGGTTTCGGTTCATCCGAGAACTGGTCGGTTCAATGGGTGAAACGCCGAAGCACGTGCCGCAAGAAGTGGCCGCCGCCAAGCCTAACAAGAAATCGAGAAGAGATTGATCAAGTCGCAGGCTGACACGTTTTACTGACTATTTTGTGATCTGGGCCGCTGGAATAATTTTATAGCGTTGATTTCTTTTTTTAATCTTTTGCGCCCGTTCAATGAGATTTTGACGAAACGCCAACGTACTTTATTAATCGTACATAATCGATGTTATTCAATTTCAAAGAGTGAAGAAGAAACTCCAAGCTCAATATTGATACGACGAACAAATAATGTTGCATATAATTAAGAATAATAATACGATTGGCGCCACGTTTTGTGACTCGGAAATTTATAATATATTTTGCGATAGCTGCTGATATTTGTACTGATCATTTTTATATTTGTATAAATAAAAAATAATTGCCGAATGCGTTTTAGAAAAGGTCTAAGTACATTTCAAAAATTCCTTTTTCTTTTCTTCAGCCTTGTAAATTTGTCCCCCAGAATATTCAAATTATTCATTTGACAGACCTTGATTGTTTTGACTCGGCTTCCTGTCTTCGTGTTATTGGAAGCAAAATAATTTTGAATCAGACAGTGATTGGAGACTTGTTCTGAATATAATTTCTTCCAAATAATTTTTATCCTCATAAAATCGCACCAATTTATCCTTGCGAAAATTTTATTTTTGTAACAAAAATTTCTCTACCATAAATTTAAAAATAAAAATTGCGTATTTTTAAAAGATTGATCAAAAGAGATAATTAAAATAATGTGTCGTTAAACTAAATTGATTACTTATAAATTCCATTATTTTATTAAAATATTATCGTAATATAATGCAATTTTATGCATTATTATTACTAAACGCGCCTTGGAGCAAAGGAGCGTTTGCTTAAAAAGAGGCTTGCCGAGGCGCGGTTTGACCACGGAGCGCGTCAAGGCACCGTTCTGATACTCTGCGTAATATGTTTCTACTTCCGCAAGCTTCCTTGAGGACCCACTGCTTTTACTATGTCCTCTGTCAATTCATTATAATTTTACTTTCATTGTGGTGGGGCTGAATTTTCAATCGATTGCGTGGGAAAATATTTATTCAAATTATCTCTAAACTTTTGACGCTTGACTTTTAATTCCGTGGCACTCGCAAAAGGGTAAGTGCAACATTTAAATTTGTGACAAATTCTTTTATTGATTTTGATAGAAATTTTAAAATTAAATTATGTTATCTACCATGACAGACACAAGACTAAGTGAGCTTACCACGGACAAGACAGATATGGAAAAGAAAGCTGAAGGTTGGGGCATCCCTCCTGAAAATCCAGAAAAAGCAGGTTGGATATTTTTCAAATATATAATAGAAAATTTCAGTGTAAAGTACTCTCGGTCATTGGTCTTTTTATTCATTTTTTATTCAAGCACCACACAAAGAGCGGATGCATTATGAAATAATTTCTTATTTCAATGCACTCGGTGCGCTTATTGCATTTTAGTTCCAGTATAATGCATATACTATCAAAGCTCTGTAAGCTTAAAATTTTTTAGAAACTTAAATTTTACTTTTTATTTTCCAGACATTCCGTCGGAAGACGAGGAAACGGAAGAAGTGAGGAAAAAAGCCAGAGAGACAAGTAAGAGAATAGTTCCAGCAGGAGAGCTGGATGCTTACCACAGAGTGATGAAGCGGAGCCTCCAAGAGCCCGAGGTCTTCTGGGCAGAGGTGGCCAGTGAGATTAGCTGGAGCAAACCTTGGGACAAGGTGCTCGACAACTCCAAAGAGCCCTTTTCTCAATGGTAAGAATTGAAAATAAAAATAATATTTGATAAAAATTATTTTGCTTCCTAGGTTTTGTGGCGGAGAGCTGAATGTGTGCTACAATGCTGTAGACAGGCACGTCCTGGCAGGACGGGGGGACAAAGTGGCCCTTATCCATGATAGCCCTGTCACCAACTCGTTGAGACATGTCACTTACCGAGAACTGCAGCAACAAGTAACAAATTTAATTAAACTAAAATTAAAGGAAAATTTGTCATAAATTCCAAATTTTTAGGTCAGTCTGTTGGCTGGTGCCCTTCTGAACCTAGACGTCATTAAAGGTGACAGGGTGCTGATTTACATGCCCATGATTCCGGAGGCAATTTTCGCAATGCTTGCATCGGCCAGAATCGGTGCCATTCACTCTGTAGTTTTTGGAGGTTAGTGTTGACGTAAACTATTTAATTGAATATTATTTGTCATTAATACCGCAATATCGAATCTATAATATATAGAAAGTAAAATAGTCGAGATAATTTTTTTTTTTAAAATTGCACAAATAGTTTTTACCTCTCTACGAAAATTATTTTTTGTGTTGCTTTTACAAGAAATCACGTTTAGGCGGCTTTATGTATTTTTAATTTTTTATTTAACTTTTTTAGGCTTTGCTGCCAGGGAGCTGTGCGCCCGTCTGGAGCACTGCCGCCCCAAAGTGGTGATTTTGGCTAATTGCGGTGTTGAGCCGACCAGGGTGGTGCCGTATCGAGCCATCCTGCACCAGGCGTTGGCCATGTGCCGCTCATCCATCCTGGAGCCGCCGCCAGGGGAGGGCATAACCTGCCTCCTGTACCAACGCCCTGGCATCTTTTGCCCCACCACCCCCACCGCCCTCCTGCCTCCGGGAGTGCGCATCGTGGCTTGGGAGGCCGCCTTGGCCAGAGCTTGTCCCGCGCCCTGTGTGCCGGTCGAGTCTTCGCACCCCCTCTACATTCTCTACACCTCAGGCACCACAGCTCATCCAAAAGTAATGTAGTAGAATTAATTGAAAAACAAAAATATATTTTGAAATTTTTATAAGGGTGTGCTGCGACCTTCCGGGGGACATGCAGCCGTTCTGGGGTGGACCATGCGGAAAATCTATGGCATGAAACCTGATGACGTTTGGTGGGCTGCATCTGACATGGGATGGGTGGTGGGACACTCGTACATTTGCTATGCGCCTTTGATCAACGGAAACACATCTTTGATGTACGAAGGGAAACCTGACAGGACTCCTGATGCTGGCCAATATTTCAGGTTGGTGTTCTTTTTGAATGGCCAAGGAATGTTTCCTGAATTTTTAAATTTAGGCTAATCGAGCGCCACCGAGTTAGCGCCCTTTTCACTGCTCCTACGGCTTTAAGAATAATCAAACGAGAGGATCCGGGAGTTGCTTTAGGCAAAAAGCATGACTTTAAATCGTGAGTAGAATTTCATATTTATAAGTATTTTATTTTTTAAATCCTTTAATAATTTTATTTAAAAACAGCCTCAAATACCTTTTTGTTGCTGGCGAATATTGTGATTCTGAGACGAGACTTTGGGCTGAGCAGGCTTTCAAGGCAAGCTACTCATTTTTGTTCTTAATCAATTTTATTCATTTTCCGATTTTATCTCATTCAGGTGCCAGTTTTGAATCACTGGTGGCAAACGGAAACTGGCCACGCCATCACAGCCACTTGTGTTGGTTTCGGACATTCCCTGAAGCCCCCAGAATTTAGCACTGGGTTACCCTTTCCTGGTTTTGATGGTAGAAGCTTAAATTAAAATATTCCTTATTTTAAGTTTTTTTCCAGTGAGAGTTTTGAGAGAGGATGGTACTGAAGCCAATCGATGTGAGCTTGGACGAATTGCGTGCAAGTTGCCGCTGCCGCCAGGTGTCATGAGCACCCTTTACGAAGCCAACGGCAGGTTCAAAACCACATACTTCAGCAAATATGAGGTTCATTTTCCAACTTGAATTCCTTCTTTCAATATTAAAATTCGTGTTTAAAACAGGGATACTATGATACCATGGACGCAGGGTACATTGACAACGATGGCTACGTTTATGTAACAGCCAGAGACGACGATATAATTAATGTTGCTGGGCACAGACTTTCAACGAACGCCATCGAAGATGTTGTCATGACCCACCCGTGTGTTGTGGATGCTGCTGTGGTTGGAGTCCCAGATGCTACAAAGGGACATACACCCCTCTGCCTCTATGTTATGGCCCCTGGTTAGAATTAAAAATATAAAATAAAATAAGCATTTTTTACATAAAAATGAATATCAGGAAACTGCCTTGGTGAAGAAGATTTGAACACTGAATTGTTCCAACTGGTGAGGGAAATGATAGGGCCCATCGCTTCATTCAACAAAGCTGTAGCTGTTCAGGCGATTCCAAGAACTCGATCGGGCAAAATTCCTCGCAATTCAATTTCTCAGCTTGCTTCGTCAAGTCTTAAAAAGGTAGTAAAACCATAAAATTTTCATTTTTTAATTAGTTGGTTAAATGACGCTGTTTCTTTAGATACCCAGCACTGTTGAGGATCCGAATGTTTACTTTGAATTAGCAACAACGCTGCAAAGAATAGGCCTTGCCAATAACAACGCTAAGCTACGATAAAATTTTTACATCTTGATTATGATGTTTGCAAACTTTTTTGGGAATTTTATTATATGTTGTGAAATTTTTGTATTTAATGATAATGATATAAGGAAATAAAGTTCTTAATTTTTTTAGATATCATATTATAATAATTTAATTAAAATTATTCAGTTTACACTTGAACATAAAAATGATGGTAAAAATAAACCAACTCCTTTTTATCTAACATAAGTCTAAACCGCACCGCGTGTTGCAATAAGAGCAATATTAAAATTATTGCGCATTTATTCCCGCCACTTGATTTCCATTTAAGTGTTGCCAAAATAATATAAAACTAAGCATTTAAATCGTGATTCAATTCGATGAAAATTTTACGTATTTTTCACATTTTACCAAAAATAAAAAGCATATTTTTATTTATTGCAAAAGATATTGATTGAAAATAGATCAAAGAAGAACTACAAAAACAGCATCAAGAAGAGACGTCTGTTTTTTTAAGGTTGGCAGCGCTGCCACCTATTTCGAGTGATTCGATCGATTATCAACCTCTCCGAAGTGGGTGTATTTGGTGCCCCAAAAAAGAGTAAAATTTCTTAAAATCGGCTAAAAAATCAGCATGGAAACATTTTAGACAACGAAAATTAACACTCGGTAATTACCTACCATTGAATCTGGCTCGGAAAATCCTATTTCTTAAACTCATAACCGGCAGGAAGTTTCTCTTGAAAATGGTCCACACATCTGTCAAAATCGAGCTTTGTCATTGTTTTTCTCACATTTCTACGGTTCATTTTGAGTAATTTGTCTGCAATTCTCCTTTCAGTGACTGCTCCGAACAACCGATCGAAATTTCTTTAAAATGGCAGGCAAGTTGCAAAATTGTAAACTATTCTCGTTATCGCGCTTTCATAAGGCTATAGTTGCTTTGAGTTTCCGCATAATTTGACTCACTTTTCACCGCATTAATCATTCTTCTTTTTTAACTCTGGTAAATTACAGGAATGCCAGCTGCAGATCCGTGGGTCATCGTGCCCAAGGAACGAGAACGATTTGAAATGCAGTTCCAAGGACTGAAGCCCATCAACGGCCACATTACTGGCGACCAAGCTAAGGGATTTCTCCTCCAGTCCCAACTCCCACCGCCGGTTCTCGGCCAGATATGGTTCTCCAAATCACAAACAATAAAACAAAATTATTTTATTACCCAATTATTTATTTTAGGGGACTGGCTGACCGAGATGCCGACGGTCGAATGGACATCAAGGAATTCAGCATTGCCTGCAAGTTGATCATGCTCAAGCTGCGAGGCATTGAGGTGCCCAAAGTACTTCCCTCCTCTCTACTGGCCTCTCTGGTGTCACCAGCCACCTCCGTTGGCACTCCACCCATGGCTGCAGGGACCCCACCTATGGTTCCGCCACCGCCAAAAGTTGCGAACACCCCTCCAGCTATTATCCCCATGTCTGTGGTTCCTCCGATGGCTGCTCCGGTCGTGCCGCAAATGTCTCACGGTCAGAAAAAAAATTGAAAAATTAGAAGAGAACTAGAATAAAAATCAATTTTAACATTAAATTTTTCTTATCTGATTTGTCAACTTTGTTCTTTTAAACTTGCAGCTCCTCCTGCTGTTCCACCGGCACCTTACATTGCTCACCAAGCTGCAGTTCCTCTGCCCGGCATGGTGCCCCAGCAGATGATGCAGCCGCAGATGATGCCCATGGTGGCCCAGCAAACGCCCATGGGGATGACAATGGTGCCCCAGGTTCCCAACCAGCAGATGATGCAGATGGGCGCCCAGGTGGTGCCTCCGCAGGTGGTGCCCATGGTGGCCCACCCAACTGTTCTGCCCTCACAGCCCAGTTTAGGGACGCCGCCCCTCATGTCTCCCCCGATCGCTGAAGTTGTTCCTCCTGTTGTCCCGATGGCCCCACCTGCAGTTCCCCCGCCCCCAGACGTGGTCAAGCAGCGCTCGGGATCAGTGGCGAGCACTGACCTGAATTCACCTCTAGACTGGTCAGTACCGCACCAGTCGAAGCTGCGCTACACCCAGGTCTTTAATTCCAACGATAGAACCAGGTGCGGACACCTGACTGGCGCCCAAGCCAGGAATATTCTCATCCAGTGGCGTCTCCCGCAGGCAACTTTGGCTCAGATTTGGTTAGTCAGTTTTCTTTGATTAAAATATTTCTATTGAAGAATTGGTTTTAGAAATTATGGAAGTAAAAACAGGAAAAAAAATGTAAATGTTTTTTTTAATTAGGTCTCTCTCTGATTTGGATGCTGATGGACGTCTCTCTTGTGACGAATTTGTGCTCGCTATGCATCTTTGTGAGATTTCCAGCAAGGGAGAGAAAATTCCCACTGCTCTGCCGCCAGATTTGATTCCTCCCTCGTTCAGGAGAGGTCGCGTAGGAAGCATCAAGACCGTTAGTGGAACTACCACTCCGACTGGAATTCAGTCGGGACCTGCAAGTGTTGACGGGGACCTGGGCAGCCCCACCAGCCAATGTAAATTTAAGCACACTAAAATAAAAAATTATCCTAATGAATTAAAAATATAGCTTCCTTTGAGGACAAGAGAAAGAAGAATTACGAGAAGGGACAGGCAGAGTTGGAAAGACGCCGACGGGCGCTGCTGGAAATCCAGAAAAAGGAGCAGGAGGAACGCGAAAGAAAGGAGAGGGAAGATTATGAAAAGAAGGAAAAGCTTAGGTATATCTATGTTCAATATTTCAAGTTGAAATTCATTGAAGTTTTTAAGGTTGGAGCAAGAGAGAAAGAGGCAGGAGGAAATAGAGCAGCAGTTGATGATGCAAAAGGAAATGGAGGAGAAGCAAGAGGAGGAACGCATGAGAGCTCAGGAGCAGAAAGAAGCAGCTAGGAAGTACTGATTTTTTTTCCTTAAGTGAACCATATATTTAACCACAAATTTGCAGGGAAATGGAAAGACAGAGGCAGCTGGAGTGGGAGAAACAGAGGAGCCAAGAGTTGCAGCAACAGAGACAGAAAGAGCAGGAAAGGGTTTTGCAGCTGAAGGCTCAAAACCAGAACTTGGGAATCGAGTTGTCTCAAAGAGTAATTCTATTCACAGTTTTACTAAAAATTATTTTCTAATTTTCTTTCATTTGCAGAGTGAAAAGGTTAAGGAGCTGTCACAGAAGATCTCCGAGACAAGGGCTGCAGTTTCCGCAGTCAAGACAACGATCGATGGAATGAGAGCCACCAGAGATGAGCAAATGACAGAAATGAGCACTTTGAAGGCTAAATTGAGGTAACTTCAACAACGCATATAAATTTACAAACTGGATAAAAATGGAATTTGCAGAGAGCAAAACAATCGATTGGTGATGCTGTCTCAAGAAAAGGCCCGCATGGACGCCAGAAACAGGGCCAACTCGGCAGTGGACGGAGCTGATGTAAACCACGCTGTAAACAGCAAGCAGGTACTGAAAAGATTTCCAATTCTGTTTCCAGGGAAATTAATGTTTGTTTTTATTAGGTTGTCTTGAAACAAATGCAAGATAAGCTGAATGAGCAAAATAAGGAGAATGATCAAAAGAAGCAGGATATTAAGAATAACAACGCTGTCTTGTCCGAACTCAGGAAAACTCTCAAGAGTTTGATTGACAATTGTGAGGCCAAATACCCCGCATTTGAGGACAAGAGGCAGAAGGTATGATTTGCCATTTCTAGCGAATGGAACTCTCCATTATGTTTGTATCTGACAGGTTTGCATAATGAAGAATCGAGTGGTGGATGACTACAATGCCCAGTGGGGTGACACGGGCTCAACAAACTGGGGTGCCCAAGAGCAAAACCAAAACACCTGGAACACCGATTCTTCGTGGTCATCAGCACCTGCTGCAGCTCCTCAACCCGAAGCAACTCCTGTTGAAGGTACCAAATTTTTTTAAATAACTATCAGACTTTGGAGATTAATTTGAAAAAAACCAGCTGTTCCTGGCATGACAAGATACAGAGCTCTCTTTGAGTTTGTTGCCCGAAATGGCGATGAATTGTCCTTCCAGCCAGGCGATGTCATTCTGGTTCCCGATGACCACAATGCCGAACCTGGTTGGTATGCGGGCAAACTTCGAGACGCCACTGGCTGGTTCCCCGAATCTTATGTCGAAAGGATAGACATGGAGGTGGTCTCGAATGGCAATGTGGCTGCTGTCGAGACCGAGGAAAGAAAGCCACTTGAGTGAGTTTTCTTGTTGTTGAGTTTGGAATGTTTGGATGTTAAAGATAATTTGTTTGAAAATTAGGGGAATCGCAGAGGTGCCTGAAACGACCAGTGACAACGGCTCTTTGTCCGACAGTGGACCTGTTGTTGCCGATTTGGCTTCGACTCCAATTCTCGGCACTGGTCAGACCATGCCGAACGTTTTTGCTCGCACGCTTTACTCCTTCAAGGGCAAGAGGGCAAGCTACCTGTCTTTCAGCAAAGGAGAAATCATCACAGTGCATGAGCAGCAGGACCAGTGGAGCTACGGAGAGCTCGGGGGCCTGCAGGGTTGGTTCCCCAACACATATGTCAAAATCGAAGATGCTGTCAAAACTGAATCTGCCGAAGGAGGTGTGATGAAATTTTAGATTTCAAAATAAAATTAGAAATAATACCATTTATTTCCAGAATATTACATGGCCATGTATCCGTATCAATCAGCAGAGCAAGGAGATCTCAGCTTCAACCAGGGTGAGGTCATTTTTGTTTCCAAAAAGGACGGAGAGTGGTGGACGGGAACAATTGCTGGGGAAAGAACGGGCCTTTTCCCTGCCAGCTACGTCTCCAAAATCGAAACTCAGGAAGCGCCAGAGGTATGTAGGAAAGATTTTAATTTTCTTTTATCAGCAAAAATACAAATCTTTACAGAACCAGTAGAAAGCTATATATATTTAGAATTGTAAGCTCTTGTTTTAAATTAACATGAAAATTTTGTGCGTGTGCTTTTGCTTATGGCACTAACTGCTGTGCTCAGAACAATGCTGTCGATATCAACGCCGCCGTGGCTGCGGTTGCAGCCTCGCAGGAGACGCAGGCGGAGAAATCAGCCCTGCACGATGAGGTCACGCAGATCACAGAGCAGCAAAACTTCAAGGTAGCGCTTAATTTGTTGCTAGACCTGATGATAGGCTTGCCTGAGATTTTGTTTAAATAACACTGTGTGGTCTGACTTTGGTGTGGAATTTCAGGCCAAAACCGAGTCCGTCACCACGCCCGACTCGCTCACCTCCAAGTCGCCTTTGCCTCAGGTAATTTTCTCGAGTTTGATTTTTCAACATAACTGAATTATGATGGTTAACCATAGCTGTCAATGGCGTCTCCAAACTCTCTCTTTCCGCCAGATCTTTTCGTTCTTAAGTCGCCCAGTAAGGTACAAGCGCGATTTTTGCAGACGAGTCGAATTTCTATGTATATTTTTCTCTACTTTTCTCTCTTCAATTAACCCGCAGGAATGAGTCGCCTGGCTACCTTTTGATACTGTAGCATGCGTCGATCAAAGTTATTTGTCCTTTAATATAAAAAAATTAAATTATTTCAGTAATCTTCTTAAATTATCTCTGTCTTCTGTATCTACACTTTGTTTTTGTAATTCCCACTCAAAATTAGCTCCATATTTCCATCAGACTTTTCCTTAAAATTAATTTAAATTTGAATTTTTAGGGCAAAGGCAAGAAGCCTGAGATTGCCCAGGTCTTGGCGCCATACAAGGCAACAAGCACTGAGCAGCTGAGTTTGAACCGAGGCCAGTTGGTGATGGTCCGTAAGAAGACATCGACCGGCTGGTGGGAGGGCGAGCTTCAGGCCAAGGGAAAGAAGCGCCAGGTGGGCTGGTTCCCAGCCTCCTATGTCAAACTGCTCGTGTCCTCGGGCACGGCTAGTGGCCGCACCACCCCTACGGCCAGATTCAGGGACACTCCTAGCCCCATGCCGGGAAAAGGTATAGTAAAGAAAGATTATTTCTAGCAATCATGAAGTAAATGGTCATTTATATACAAAATTTGGATTTAGAGCAAGAAAAATTTTACAAATACAACAGTAATTTTTTTTCAAACAAATTTATTTCAAAAATTTGCAGATCGTGTAATTGCCATGTATTCGTATGTGGCTCAAAACTCTGACGAACTGAGCTTCGATAAGGATGAGGTGATCACCGTCACTTCTCGAGACGATCCCTCATGGTGGAAGGGCGAACTTCAGGGTCAGGTCGGCCTCTTCCCAAGCAACTACGTCTCGGCCATCCCCACAGATAACTGTAAGTGTCAAGTTTCTCTCCCTTGAAATTCTGGCAGGGCTCCTTTCATTTGATTTGCACACGTTTATATCCTTTGGCCCGGAAAAGAAAAACGTTTTATTGGCATGCACCACTCATTTGGAAGACTGATTTTGATCGGGCGTTTGTTTTCTCTCTTTCTGTGCTTGCTTACACCCCGAAAGGAATCTCAACAAGAGGAGCGACCCCCTAGGAAGATCCAGCCCCTGCAGCGTCTTTTCTCTCTGCCTAGACTGTTCTGGCTTTGGTCTGTGTAGGTTCTCTGTTCAATCAACAGAACTTTGTGTTTGTAAGCGTTCAAGATTGGTCCTTATTACATTGATGTGAAACTTTTGTTGTTTTTTGTCTTAACATGACACAGATCACAGATCGTATTATCAATCTGGAAATTGCAATTCACTGTTAACGTTGGAACGGACCAAATTTCTGTTTTTGTTAATTCAAATTTGATCATTTGAGCTCAGGTTGCAAGATTTTAGCATAATATATCCGATTCGTTAGAAAGCCTATATATAACTTCAAGTTGAATAATTACAAAAGTATAAGATAAAAATAAATAATATCATCAATGTGTGTCTTGTGAAATTCTACTTACACTGCTAATTACGCAAAATGTAGCCGAGCAGCGACTCATTTAGCTTATGAAGGACCGGGAGAACAATTAAATCTGCCGATCCGTCAATTAACAATTGAGGAGTGTCGCGAAAATTATAAATGTAGTCAAGTTGACGCAAATTGTATCAGAGCAGTTTTTTTAGCAATCGCTAAAAATGAGATGATTTTTAGGTCTGGTGATCATTTTTTGCAACTCTTTGTGATCTACTTTAGGTGCTCATTTCAGGTTAAACAGTAATTATTTATGAGAATATGTTCTGAATCTGATTTATATTTTCTTTTGCTCTGAAATTGTTGTTTTTTGAACTGATTTCCACCAATATTATGTTGAACTGCGCTATTTCATTCCATTTGATTTCGCATCTAGATGTTGTGACCATTTGTTGCAAAATTCCTCCATCATTTGTGGATATATAAGTGCTGATTATCAATTACACAATAATAAATTATTACTGTTGAAAGAAAACAACCGACTCTTCTCATTGCAAATTGTACATATTTAAATTATAAATTGCTTACGGCTTCGAAAATTGGAATATCAAGGTAAATAATGAAAACAATTTTTTGCACAAAGGCCCTGCTTGAATATTAAAACGAACAAGAAAAAACACTTCCCGTAATTAAGTAGCTTAGATAGTTGGCGATCGGTTCTGCATGTTCCTTCTCTAAACGTCAGTGCATTGGTTCGCAGCCGAGATGAGCGCCATAGAACGAGCCAGGCAAGGATACATCACCGAGCTGATCGAGACTGAGCAAACCTACATCAACGACATGACCATCGTCCACGAGGTATTTGCCTTAAAACTAATATTTAATAGCAAGCAGTATTTAAAAAAAAGGAAAAATGTAAATTTTAAAATAATATAAAATTTAAAAGGCATTTGAGAAGCCTTTGTTGGAGTCTCAAGTCATCAGCAAGGAGGACGTGGAGAAAATTTTTGTTAACTGGATGGACATTCTTCAGTGCAATTATGTCTTCCTAAGGTTCATAAAAAAAACTTGATTATTTTAATAGAAGAATTAAAAAAAAAATTTATATTGAATTTTGTTAGTGCCCTGAAAGTGAGGAGGGACATGAGTGTTCGAGGCGAAATTCGGATGATTGGAGATATTTTGTGTGAAAATGTATGAATTTTTAATCAAAAAACTTTTATTTTCGGTACTAAAAATTTTCTCTAGCTGCCACGAATGGCCGCCTACGCGAGGTTCTTCAGTTGCCAGTTGCGAGCGGCTGACCTGCTGCAGTACCACACTGAAAACACTCCAGAGTTTAAGTCCTTTGTGCGGCAGTGTGAGATGAACTCTGTGGCTAAAGGGTTGCCTCTCAGCTCCTTCCTCATCAAGCCCATGCAGAGAATCACAAAGTACCCTCTCATCATAAAAAAGGCACAAATTTCTCATTTTCATATAGAGGAAGATGACTCTTTTTCTCATAATTAGATTCTGGAAAACACTCCTGATGATCATCCTGATTACCAAAACCTGCAAGACGCACTTGCAAATGCTGAGGAGTTTTGCGTCCTGGTCAACGAAGGTGTCCGAGAACGGGAAGACTCGGACAGACTCGAGTGGCTTCAAAAACACATTCAGTGTGACCATTTGGAGGAACCCCTCACTTTCAACTCCCTCACAAATCTACTTGGGCCAAGACGATTTGTGCATCATGGTGTTTTAAAAAAAGTACTAAATGAATACAAAATAATAGAAAATAAATTAAATTTTTGAAATTTTTAGGTCAATAGTGGTCGAGAGCTGGTTGGCTTTTTGCTGAATGATTTCCTGCTTTTGGCCAGTCCGACAAAGCCGCTCAAAAGTTTAACTTTCTCTTTTGAGCGGTACAAAGGCAATATGCTGAAAATATACAAAAAGGTATTATTTTCCTATTCTATTAATTTCTTATTTTTCAAAATACTTTGTTTTGAATTCTTGTTCAGCCGTTCTTTTTGAACGAAATAAAATTCAGTGCTGGAAACGAAATTGAAGAGCTGGTGCTGCAGGACGACAGCCGCAGCTACCTGCTGCACACCCCTACCTCGTCCGAGCGGAGCCTGTGGCTGCGAAATTTGACAGAGGCCAAGAAGGCTTTCCTCGAGAAGGAGAGCTCCTTTTTGTTGAGACAGCAGTCAAGTATGTAGTTTAATAAGGAGAAAAAATTAAGACTTTAAAATTTTTGGAAACATTTTATAGAAATGAACAAATTCGGTGCAATCGGCCGAGTGCTGATTGCCATCGTTGAAGCGTCGAATCTCAGCCAAGTCACTGGTAAATCACATGACCGGCTTGTGGCTTGTTTTTGCATGGACTAATTTTTATTATAACTCTCAATAATTTCTAATATTTCTTTTCGGTATGAACTAATTTAACAGTGCACGCGGTTTATCATGGATTTTTTCTTTCTTTTCTTAAATCTTGCTTTTTTAACTTCTGGTTTCTTTCCTTTTCTTTGCATGTTGTAGTTCGGCAGCGCCCTCCTAAGGGTTCTCTCACAGTAAAGCACCTTTCTGGAGAGCACATTCAAAGTACAAATAAAACGGTCACAGGTATAATTACTAATTGCTTTCTAACATGCGCCTGCTATTGGTTTTATTGCAATTTGTCACATGGTGGTAAAAATTTTTCCGTTTCCAGGCAAGTGTGAAATCTTCAGTGAAGTGAGCATGGGATCTCAGGAGAAGCGGACGCCCCTTGCCAACGGGCCCAACCCGAGGTGGAACGCATCAATGCAGTTTTTGGTCAAGGACCTCAACGAAGACACGCTCTGCTTCACCGTGTTCAGCAAAGGCCATTTTGCACCAAATGGTATTTATTATTATAATTTTTATTAAATATTTATATAAAATAATTTGGATAGAATTCCTTGGGCGCGCCGAAATCCGCATCAAAGATATCCCCTTCAACGCAGCGACGGCCTCGACAGGCCCATTCAACACGACCCTTAGTTTGAGAGAAGTCAAGTCAGGCAGCCTAACTGCCAAACTGGATCTCAGGCTGTTCGACACGCCAAACATTCCAAACCACCGACAGAGGCTTATTTGATTGATATTGAGTATCGTTGAGAAGAAAAAATCATCTGGCAGGAAAAGAAACTTTAATTGTTAAGTTTAAACCTATTAGAACTATTTCCGCTCTTTTGAGCTTCAATGTTAACAAGATAGCTTTGTATTTATTTGCAGAGAGAGAACGGTGACTTTAGACTTATACTAATCATGTTAAGGATTTTATTCTATTTTTGCTTTTTTACCAAGCTGCTTATTCATTTAATTGTACTGGAAGTTATCCCAAACTTCTTTGCATCACAATTTTTTTTACAAATTTGTTTAAACGAAATGTATTAATTTAATTTTGTAACATTCCAGTGTATTTTTGGTACCACCTTGAATAAATTTTATTATAATTCAATACTTAAAAAAAAATGCCTTAAAAATATGGATAAAAATTACAATTTGTTAAAAAGAAACTTTATTTAAATAATTCGTTTTAATTCAACTTTTTTATAAATAAAAGTAGCTCAAAAACAAATTGTGCAATAAAAATTGAGTTACAATCGACGCGCACCCGTTTTATTTCACTTTGACCCACTAGCATTGAAAAGTGAATGTGCAACGCGTTTGCTGGTTTGGCCACCGTGAATTAAGAAAGAACTACGTGCGAGAGTAGTGAGTGTCCTAACGCGGCGCCTGCGCCCCCGCCTATCGCGCCCCCTCGAACTCAGCCCCGATACTCAGCCAAGCTCGATTTTCAGTTTTGCCAGTTTCCAAAGCAGTCGACGCGATATCATGGCTAAGGGAAAAGGTGAGCAAAACTACTTTCATTGTCACTGACTTAATAGAACTTCCACACTAGTTTATTTAAAGTTAGAATCAATTTGTGTCGATCATTCGAGAAAGAAGCAAGGAGAGTCTCGCATTATTTGGCGCTATTGCGTCGCACGCACTTGTGCCAAGAAGTGTATTTCGGCCTCTCCGAATGAGAGAAGGCAAAAATAGACTCAAAAACACTCTCACTATCGCCAGGTGAATTGAACTTTATATTTGAACGATTTTTGCTTGGCAGCTTTCGTGAGAAAAAATTAAATTTTAATTATATAAACAAACAATTATAATAAAAATTAAATATAAATAAAACATAATTTATTAATTGATTTATAACTTCCACTATTGCATTCAAATTAAGCATTTTTTTTTTAAATGTGAAATTCTGAAAAATCAATTTTATTCAAAGTGATGGAAGGTTCACGAACAAATTGTTGCTCGTGCGAAATCGATTATGAGAAGCTTCTTGATTACTTTCGCAGCGGGTCAAGCAGGTTGCATACTTTCACAGGCGCGCTAGCTGTTCTTCGAGCAATCGAAAAATTAAAGAATGCAGAATCTGATAAAAATTTAATCTCTTTTTGTCTTCGATTGAACTTGAAATTTTTTTTATTAAAAATTACAATTTTTTCAAATTCCAGGTAGTGGTGGTGGAAAAGCTGCGGAAGAGGTTAGTTCCAAAAATGACTATAAATTTTTGGGAAATCATTTAAAAAATATTATTGCAGAAAAAACCAGCTGCTGCAGGTGGCAGTGGCGGTGCCGCGGCCGGTGCAACGGCTGCTGCTCCCAAGGGTGGCGACAAAAAGGCCGGTGGAAAGAAAGGCACGTTTTGAAGAGAAAAAAATCAATTATTTTTATTTGAAAATATTGATAAATTTTCAGGAGGAAAGAAATAAAGCGCGCTCTTCAGGGACCAAACTCTCTTTCACGTAATTGTAAACTCTGCCACAAAAATAAACTTTCCAGAGAGAAGATTTTGCGAATTTCGAGTCCCCCGTACAAACATTCTACAAAGGCAGCACACTCAGGTTGCATGCAACATGCAAAATTTTCGAACCTATCTACCTTTGATGTTCGCACAAGGACGAAAATTATGAAGAAAAATTTGTGTTCTATTGTTTGTATTTTTATTCCTGAATAAAAATAATACGAAAAAAGTAAAACTTTAAATTTTAGGCTTCTCATTTTTGCTGAGCATCAGGTGAAAATATATTTTAACGAGTATCGACAAGCAGTGGTTGCCAAGGCAGCAGTTTGTTAAGCGCGCGGTGCTTGAGGAGGAGCACACAATAGCTCTGTTTGGAGGTCGACATCAATAATTTATCCTGTTGTTAGCATTATTTTGGGGTAAAATGGAAATTGCGCAGAAGGTATTTTACTCAAATATTCATTTTGTAATGAAAGTTTTAAAATTGTTGGATAAAAGCTGGACGCTTTACTGAGCAAAAATTTTGCTCTTCCTGTTACGGAGAGACTGGCGTTGGACCACTTTGTGCTGGACAGAGAAGATTTTGAGACTAAATTGCGGGATGCTGAGAGGGAGATCAAAGAAGAGTGCTCAACTTTGGAAAAAGAGGCGGCGGAGCTTGAAAGAGCTGCAGACACGGTTTTGCGAAAGTTTCTGTTTGAAATGGAAGAACCAAGTCGAGAAATTAAAGTAAAAACAAGATGTAACTTTTGCCCATTCTAGTCGATAATTATATTTTTTTTTATAAATTTCATAAATATTGTCAACGAAAACCCGCAGATGAGCAATAATAATTTTGACGCATTTTTAGTTAAATTATTTTTATCAATCAAATAATATTTGGGGGGGGGGGGGGGGAATCAATCCGAAACAATGGAAATTAAAAAAAAAACTTTCAACTTCTACAAAGGAATTAATCCAGGATAACTCAATGATTTTGTTGAAAAAAAGTTTGTTTAGTTGATCAAAATCATCAAAACCATAATACCGAAAAAAAGAAACTAAAAACAAAAAATTTAGGGTTTTTTGAGCCAAAGTTTGTCGGTGCGAAATTTCGCTTTGGTGGCGGAGACGGTCGAGGAGGACGAAGAGTTTCGGAAGGAGTTGATGCGCAACGAGATGTATGTGTCCGTGACGAGGTTCATCGCGTTCAGCCCTTGGGAACTAATGAGCGACAGGTGCGTACGGCAAAGTTATAGTCCAGGCAGCTAATTCCAATTTTGTGCAGCGAGTTGGCCGAAAAGCAGCACAAGAGTCCACTCGACCTGCGCAGCTTCAAGAGCATCGCCGAGGGTTTTCAGAAAATGCTGAGCGACGTGGCACGCAGGGCGTCGGACGTCAACTCAGGGGCGCCCGCCGGCTCGATCAGCCGCTCCATATTGAGCCCTGACGAGTCGCAGGCACTCGCCCTTCTTGAAAACTGCGACCAGGCATGACGGAAATTTTCATAGAACCAAACTAGTGATTTTATTTATTCAATAATTCTGAAAGTGGATAAAATTTGAAGAATGACCATGAAATCATATTGATATCATATTAATAAAAAAATTCGCACCCTTTTAAACCAGCAGTTTTCTGCTTTAGTTTCACCGCCGAAAATGAATTTGGACCACAATTAACAAAATTCTGTAACAAAAAACTTTCAGATATTTTAATTTTGACCCAAGCTGGTTCAAGTCGCGTCTTTATTGTGACAGTTAAGAAAATTAACGATGTATTTTTAAAATGAATTCAGGTAGAACTGAATTTGAGTGCTTACGAAGCCACAAAGCACGCCCTTGTCCTCACCAGGGTGATTCGCGACCTGAAGGGACATTTCAACCGAAAGTTCAAAACCCTGAGCGAAGAGAAACAAGAAAAGGTTGAAAGCTGCAGTGGCATTTTGAGTGAGGATCAAAAGTTGGAATTAGGGGGAGATTTTCAGAAACAAGTAAAACAATTTTATATTAAAAATTTTCAAATAATAATTTTAAAAAAGTTTGAAGGGATTATGGAAGAAAGCACATCAGAACAGACCAGCGAAAAAGATATGAAAAGATTGAAAGTAAGTCAATATTTTTTTTAGAAGCTTTTGCTGATTGTTGAAATTGGAAGGAAAGTCTGTCTAGATTTGACGAGCGGCTGAGGGAGATGTCAAAGTTTCGGCTCAAAGTCTGCACGGCCGTGACGCAAGAGGAGCTAAAAGTGGCGCGAATCAAGTTGTGGATTTTGACGCAGTCCGTCTTGTTGTCCAACGAGACGCGCACCAGGCCAGTTTTCATTTCACTAAACATATATGTGAGCAGGAAAAATTGCAAATTTACTTTGCAGGGAGGAGTTGCGCGTTTGCTCGGAGGAGGTCGAGGCGTTGTCCACAAAGAGACAAACGCTGCAGACGCGGTGCGAGAGGAAGAGGCGCAAACACGAGCGGCTCAAGGCGCACGACAAGAAACAGGACAAAACGTTCCACCAGCACTTCACGCATAGCTCGCCGCCGGCCGTCGTCCAACAACTATCAAAACTTTACAAGTAATAATGATAAAAAATAAAAGAATGAAAAAAGTTGTGAATTAAAAAAAAAAATACCTTTGGATTATTAAACGTAGTAAAAATAATTTAAAATTTAAATTATATGACTGTATTCTTGATCCTTGATTTCTTTATAACGATTTTTCTTCTTCAGCCATTAAAAACGCGTTCTTAATTTTAATGTATTAAAGTTCAAATTCTGTAAATTGAAAGTCAATTTGATCCAGACTTACTTTATTTGATTATTATTAAAAAAATCTTATAATTCCATGTCTAGAAAAATAACTATTAATTGTTTTACATTTGATGAAGACGAAGACCAGCAATTAACCTTTCGGCGAGCCAACTGCGGCTGCTCAACAAAGACTACCTGCGTCCTGCCAACAATGCAGACCAGCCGCCGCAAGTGGAGGAGCAGAAGGAGTCTGAAGACGAGTCAGAGGAAGAGACGCCCCTGCACGAGCCGTGCAAACTGTTCATGGCCGCGCTGAAGATCATCGACGTGACCGGCAAGAGGCCCAGCGTGGACACTACGGCCTGGCGCGCCCTTTGCAAAATGCGCAGGGCCAAAGTCGAGGCCGAAATCAGGGTAAAAATTCAAAGTTCTCCCGCGGACAAAAAAAATGATTTGATTCGGCAGGTCAAAGCTACGGCCCTTGAAGTGTCTGAAGTGGAGCAGACGCTGGCAGAGGTCGACGCCAATCTGACCTTCGAAAGGAACAGGGAGCAGCGGCTCAGGGAAAAACTGAACGCGATTTTGGACCGGAAGAGGCGACTCTTGCTTGATATCGAGGTAAAATTTTAAAATGGCTTACTTAATACTCTAAAATTTAAAAATACCCCTTCCTTAGTTAACTTTTTCTAAGTGCTTTTTAATTTTTTCTTGCCATTTTTAGTATTAATTTAAATACAAATAATTTGTTTCAGTTGCAAATACTATTGCCTCTGGGACAAATCGAGGTGAAGAACCTTCACGACCCAAAGGAAATTGAGGAATCGATTTTGGTTCCGAGGAAATTAGTCCGTCAGCAAAACAACAGAATAAGGGTTTAGGAAATTTTAAAAATTAACAAATTTAGAGTGATTCATTTTTGTAGGACGCGGGAGCTGCAAAAATGGTCGCCTTGGAAAGGTCTGTCCGATTCAGGGAGGGTCAACTTCAGGTGGCCCACTGGTATTTGCAAAAGGTAACCCTTCAGCTTCAAATCGCAAAAGACGAGCTAAAGTATGTGGAAAAACTGCCGGTAATTGATAACTTTTTTATTGTAACATTAATAAAGATCAATTTCTGGCAGATAACAAGTGAAATGAAAAAGTACTTGAAGGGCACTCTTCAGGCACCTTCGAGAGCAAAGGTTGGTTGTTACGAAAAGGATTTGGTGCGGCGGAGACGAGAGGCTCTGGCGTCGCGGCTTGCAGACCTTCAGGGGCAACAGAAACGTTTGAAATACGATAATTTAGATTTGGAGCGGCAGATTGCAGAGGCAAAGAGGAAACTTGAGGGCCAGAAGGCAATAAAAGTCGAGCCTAATCCATTGATTGCTTCGACGAAGTGAGATTATTTAGTTAAAAAATTAAATTTTAATTAAATTTGATCAGATTGGCGGGCGAAAAAAGCAAGTTAGAAAGGAAATTCAGGGAGCAGGAGATCGAGTTGTTGGGGCTGAAGGAAGAACTGGAGAAGATGAAATTGAGAACTTTTCCTACACTTTTCAACGTTTCGGTCTAAATATGTTTTAGGGTTTTGTACTTGATATTAAACTGAGGTATTCTTTTCATCAATTTTATTGTGTACCCATCATCACAAACCATTGCGTTCATTAGAAGCAATCAAAATTAAAACTTACGAGACCAAAAATCAAAACAATAAATATATATACGAACCCCCGAGTTGTTGTAATTTTCTTGCGTTAAAAAATGATTTAATGCATTTATTTTATAGATATATCCAGGCAAAGTACATAATGAGCTTTTCTGTATTGATTTAGTAATAATTGGGGTAGCATTAAAAACATACAAAAAGGTTGTTGGTTACTGGGGATCTAATCTTTTTTTAGAATCACATATTGCACGCACACAAAATTTGACCAGCTCGAAGGCATCAAAAGCAATTATCCTACTCTTAATGGAATGTGCTGCTATTCAACTATATTGTATCGAGAAACACTACCTGTTAAACATGGTGATTTGCATTGTGCCTGTCGGACTAAGTTAGAAATTAAGTGTTATAAGTCGTACTAACTCGATTTGTTGGTAATTTTATAGCCTTCGAACTGCGCCAAATGAGTTAATCTAACTAAATTTGTTTGAGAAAAGAAACAGCAAGGAGGTCAGCCAGCTTAAACCGTCCGTGCCTGATATTCGACAGCCTTCTCTTAATTATTCCTCACATAACAGTCTAATCAATAAATATAATAATATATTATTATTCTGACAAAAAATAAGAAACAATTATTGATCCTATCTAAAGTGTTTGGTCCAGCTAATAAGTAGAGCAACTGAGAAAATATTGAAGCTGGGGTCAGTTCTGAGGGGCGTAAAAAACTAGAACATCGAGCCCATACGGTGAAAATGGGGAAGAAAGTAAGGGGGGTACAATCCAGCTGTTCCGGCTCCTTACGAGGGCTGTGTACGAAAAAGCCTCAAGTCTTCATTCTGCAATCAGTTTGTTCCCGTTCAGTTTCATACTGATTTTCATTTTTCATAAATTTGAAAGATTTTCCCATTAATTCTAAATGAATCTCAAGTTCGTTTCAAACTCCGACAGCCTTTTATCAGTTGATTTTAAATTTTAAATGACAGTGTCCTACCTCATAGGTTGTTCAGAAGTCGAGGGGTGGATCGTTCTGTGCGTCACAAGAGCCAACACTCATCCGATACATTGCCATTTCGGATATGCCGTGGTAGTGAACGAAAGCAGCAGCAACTACTAGCACATGGAATATCTGGTGACTCTGGAACTGCAATTCAATATTGAGCAAATGGCCATCACAATCAATGGATAAAAACCTACCACATAATCACATCTGCCTGGAAAGAATCTTTCCGGGACGCGAAGTGCGTAAAAAAGAGCGCCCAAGATGTAAAGGCAGCCCATGAGGATGAGCCAGCCGAGGGACGCTTTGGAAATGGCGTTGAACCAGCCGTCGGCAACAGCATGATGCACCGCAGGAACCACCCCGCTCAGGCCAAAGGTCATAAAGACTCCTGTGCAACAAATTTACCAAAAGTTTTAATTTGAAAGTCTCAGCGATAAAGAAAAAATTTCTGCGATTGTTATAATTAAAATAGACAATATTTTTGTAACATGCTGAAGTGTACAACAGTGTACAATATAAAAAATCACACTATTCCGTTTGTTTAAGTTAATAGTAAAAAATTAAATTGATTTTTGAAAACTTCTAAAAAAAATAAAATAAATAAAGTTTATTTACTCTGAAAATTTGAAATATTGAATAGTTCAATAATTTACCTGCTCGAAGTGCTCTATATTCAGGTTCGGAAAACTTGTCCCACAAGGACACAACAATGGAGGAGATTCCCAGCAAAGTTACCACACAGAGATAAATCACTTTGGGCTGGAAGTCGCAGTAAAAGCCGTAGTACAACCACGGCACAAAAGAGCCCATAATCAGCATGGCAATTCCGCAATAGTCTAACCTGTGATTAAAGTTTTGCAATTAATTATTAGATTTCAATCCAAGTAGCATTGATGACTCACTTGCTGAAAAGTTTTCCCATCGTTTCCGAGTGGCAGCACATTGTGTGGAAAGCAAATGACATTCCAAGACAAAGTATAGCACCTAGGAAAAATGCAGCAAAAACCAGTTTCTCCTGGAATTGCACCTCAATCGACGGTCGGCTCAGGAAGTATGTGGCTATTCCAATGAAAGCAACACAACCTGGAAAAAAAATTGAATAGTTTTGTTAAAAAAAATCAGTGGAACAAAGAGCATGTCATATTGGGGCAATATTTTAACCATTTCAGTCTAAGATTTTTAGAAGCAATATTTTTTCTCATCAATTTTTTAGTAAGTTTAAGGATTTTTTAATTAACAGACCTAGTAGATGGGTCCAGATGTTTCCTGTTTCAGTGTGAATCCTAAAAATGGACCTGAAGCAGGCTGAGAAGGTTGGCAGGGGTGGTCGGTGACCTGTGTGAAGAAAGTCGTTGTCTTGCAACCAATCGGGCAGGTGCTGGAAGTGGCAAACGCTCCACGAAACCTCCCAAACCTAAGAGGCACCGAGAGTCAGAAACGGAATTCAAACTTGTCAGGATCGTTAAATTTGGAATAATAAGCACCTTCATGACGAATCCTTCTGCTTGCTCGGCGGCTTTGTGAGCCAAAGCACCCAGACCCAACTCTTCCGACTCCTTGGCAACAGAGATTGAAAGCACAGATATTAAGCAAAGCTCACTTATGAACAGGGTGGATTTGAAGAAAGCTTTCTTTTGTGTATTTTGACATACGCAACCATCACTACAGAAAAATTAAAACATTGGATGTACAGGAATCTAGGTTAGTTCCTAGCTTATTATTTAAAGGTTGGTTGAGGATTTGAAGATTTTCTTAAGTGGTTTGCACAGTAAAAACTTCACAACCAACAAATTTGGAAAAAACTACTTAACAAATTTTCTAAGCCTGAAATTAACTATAAAAATACCGGTTTCAAGCGTATTGAAGCGTATTACAAAAATACACAAAATAAACAATGAAGTAAATTTTAGATCAACTTATTTTCCCTTCAATATTTGTAAATTTTGAAACAACACACAGGCGGGTGTTAAATAATTTGGACAAGTTAAACGAAAAACAAGTAAAGGCCAATGGGTGTTGCAATTTAATGAGAGACCTCATGGTCCAAGAGTTCTGTGTCAATGGGTGTGCTGGGCAGCGGGCAGCCCTCCTCCTCCTCCTCCAGCACGCTCGCCTCGTCGTCCCTGGCCAGCAACTCTTTGACCTCGCGCAGTCCAGGCACCTCTGTTGGGTCCTCATCCTCCTCTGCCGACTGCTGAAGCCATCGACGACGCAACCCTTCCGGCAATTTTGGGATCAAGGGCGGCGTGCTCGGCAGCGAGTCCTCCGAGGAAGAGTCGGCGGGCCCTTCGAATCTTTTCACAATAACGGGCTCCATCTGTGAACAAGCAATTTTTTAATTAATATTATTAAAAAAAAAAAGTTGCAAAAGAAAGAAAAATAAATGTTGACCCTTGAAAGCCTTGACCGTCTTTTATCAGTCTGTCTGGCATTGGTTTCATTTTTATGATTTATATGATTAATATATTTAATAAGAAATAATTTCAACACATCGAGTTGAAGGTTCTAGAGCTATTGAAATAAAAAAAAGGGGCAGTCGCTGGATTTGATAACAATAAATTATCATTGGCACACTTTTTATTTGTTCAGAAAGTTTTTTTTTTTAAAGGAAAAAAAATAAAAGACTGCTTTCTCCTTGATTAGCGGCGCATGAAATCTAGATCGATCAGTCTCTAAGAATAGCAAAACTCATTACGAGCAAATCAACGTCACTGCAATTAGCAATTATTTATTTCTCAACTTTCAATCAACTCTGATTGTGTGTGAATGGTTCATTGATGGAAATTGCCAATCAATATTCCGGATTGCGGAAAAATTAGCGAAATATTTATTTTACCTTGAGTTTCGCTTGCCTGATTTGATTAAAATAGAGAAAAGCGCTTCTTCACGTGTCTCTGTCTCGAGTCGAAGCCTTACGGCGTGTTTATGCACAGGATAAACAAGAGCAAAGTAGCTTCTCGCTCGACGACGAGCAGCCGACTCGCGCGACCTTTTTCAAGACCAATAACTCCGAGCGACAAATTAGTAGGCTCCAGTGACCTTTTCCCAGCGCCAAGTGAACACACACGCGACAAACGCCAAACGAAATAAATATATTTTTAATAGTGCCGTTTTTGCCGCTTCCTGTCCGCTTGCGACAGAAAAATGAATTTCTCTTATTTTCTCTCTGATATCGATCAATCACAAAGCAGCAGCCCCCCTGAAATAAAATTTTATTTTTCTGGGCGCTCGTCTGTCGAGCACAAAACTAACTGTATTTACAATTGGATGTTTAAAATAATTGTCAAACCTTGACCGCGTTTGTTCTAGATAAAAATTGTAAATTTTATCACCAGCCCTATGCGTCCCTCGTGCACCTGCGTCACGGACCCAATCGGACAAACTGTACTCGCCTTTCTGTGATATCCTGTCCCAATGCAGCACTTTCTCGAGTCGAATCAGCCCCTCGGAACCAGCCCAAACGCTACGCAGACCCTTCGACGCGAATATTTCATGCCACGGGCCCCGAAAGTGCCCCAAAACGGCCCGTTCTGGAGTGCGTAATTCGAGTTTTTAAATGCCCTCTCTCTCTTTATTCTCGAATACTCAAACCAGCTGACCAATACTCGATGCTGATTGGTCGACGCGACCAGAGAGTACCGTCGGGAGTTGCTATCGGGGCGGGACGCACTTTGGTCTGTCTAGCAAATTAGGCCCGTAGATAAAATAACTGTGATCGATGAGTCAGTTTAATTGAAAATCAATGTGAACATTGCGTAAAATCGTAATAACTGGGAGTTTTAAAATCTGCAATCTTTGTAAAGAGGCAACTCCTTTGTACAACACCTTGAAATTGGCGTGACGTCATGAAATAGCAAAGATTTACACCAATGGGAAAAATGGATTTACGCTCAAATCAATTCGCATTTTGACACGTGCCTCTTATATAATTAGCATTACAAACACCGATTAATAATAATTTTACACGAGTCTTTTGCCTAAAACGATCATGTATAATTGCGCAGCTTATTTTAATTCCTACATTACAACACCTAAGGCAAATTCTCGTTTGAAATTTTGACGAAATGCTGGTTTACCGCTCTTTTTTGAGTGCCCTCGTCCATTCAAGGAACTCGTCAATTCCAGCCAATCAACGTTGAAAGTTTTTAAAGGGCACCAACAGCAACCCTTGGTACCATCTGTGTGCGATGCAAATCCCGCGTCAAGGATTGCAAATGCACCGCGTATTATTATGACGACCAAGATTTTCTAGATCTTTTGCATAGCTTTGAGGTAAATTAATAGTTCAAATAAACAAAGGATAAAGAGACTCAAAATACTTGCCAAGTACCAAATGCTTTTTTAAATTTTGTAAGCATAATTATGCCAGAAACACTTTTTATCAATTTAAAAAAAATACATTTCCATTCCATTTATTGTTATGTGTATGATATAATCCAGTAAAAGATAATTTATAATATTTAAATTGAACTGCGACTTGTGATTTTTATTCTACTAGATTCTCATGATGCCCGAGGAAAAGGGTATCAAGTTGACGGACAAGATCCTGAGGTTGTTCCAAGGCACAGGAAAACCCTTCACAGCGAATGCCATTCTAAAAGAACTGCCCAAGGAGGAAAAGAAGACCAACGTAGAAAAGGCTCTGTGCAAGTTGGTTGACGTAAGACTTTTAAATTCCTTAATTTGTAATATATTTTACAATTTACATTAAATTTCTCTCACAGTCAGAGGAAGTTGTGGAGAAGACCTTTGGCAAGAAAAAGCTTTACTTTGCCAAGCAGACAAAGGTGGACTCTTCGAAGCTGTTGGAGCTTCGAAACAAACTCAATGAGAATATCAACCTTCTGGACAGAGAGTTGTTGAATGTGGAGCAGGCGGTCAAAACTCTCGAGAGCGAAGTGAGGCAACAGACTGACAAGGGAAAGCAAGATCCAGACCAAAAACTCAGCGACGCCGAGTTGCAAGAGGCCATTGATGAGGTGATTTTTTGTATGACGTCTTGAATGAAAGATAAAAAAAATTGTATTTAGATGCAAAAGAGGCTGGACAGCCTTGTGCGTCAGAAGGAGAAAATTCTAGCAGCCAATGGTCCGAAGAAATGCAAACAGAGCAAAGCTGTTTATGAAAAGGCCTGGAGGCAGAGGAAGCGAATGGTCAGGGATGTCATGGACGCAGTCTTGGAGAACTCAGAGATGACCAAACAGAAGCTCATTGAGGACATTGGGCTGGAGACTGACGAAGATGCCGGGGTCTCCCTTCCCTGATCATTAATAGTTTGAAACATCTCATAAGATTAACAATAAGATATTTACTGCTTATCACAATTATAATAATTAGTTTATTGTAATTTAAAGAAAATAAAATTAACGTACAAGGGCCAAAGTTAAGATTTCTCCAGTTTGCTGAAGTGCTCATAAGGTACTTCTTTGGTGATGTATTTATCCTGAAATAATAAATATATTCTTACCAAATGGACTACTCAAGAGATTAAAAGAACATACCTTGGACTTAAACAAAAGATAAGCCTTAAATCGGTCAACAAGAACTTCTTCTAAGATAGCTTTCTTACCCCTGTACTCGCCTTTGAGAATTAAAACGTGCTTGCCTGAGAACAATTTTTACGTCTCTAAAATTCATGAAAATAAAAAAATGGTGAAAAACATACCAGGTTGCGGAATAACTGTCTGCAAATGATCTTCACCCAGTTTCAATTTGTGTCCTGTCGAAAGAACTTCGACATAAGCTTGGCCGTCCTTCACTTTAGTGATGACAGCCTTCTGATTGTGGTATTTCTCTCCTAAAGCTTTTGTAACTATTTTCACAATGATGCCCTGAAGAAATTCAATTAAATTTTAGTTGACAAATAATGTTAATAAACATTGAATTACCTCGATTAGCCACGATTCTTCCTCCTCCTCGTCATCAGAACTCAGCCTTTCCTCTTTCAAGCGGTTCTCCTCTTTGACTCTGTACTCCTTTTGGACCTTCCTCTTCTTCATGGCCATATCTTCCAACATTGCCTCCTCCAGGCCAGACAACTTCCTTTTGCCATCGTCCGACTTGTAGCTTTTCATGGACCGGACCGATTTTGTGTCGTCGTCTTTCAACTCTGCTTTAATGAGTTGGGGAAGGGGAACTGCGCTGATTGAAGGTTTTGGTGCCAGTTTTAGTTGAAGGGAAATTTTTTCTTCTTCGTCTGTTCGGACAAACTCTCTGGGCTCGGGAGGCGCTTCTTCCTCATCTCCTTTTGAAGCTTTACCCTTCTCCACCTGCTTCTCAACAAAGTCCATCAGTTTCTCCTCATCGTCTTTGTCCATCCTCTTCTTCTTTTCTTTCCTCTCTTGCCTTGCCAAAGTCTCAGGATTTCTAAAATTAAGGTCATTTTTAGTTCAGAGCATAAAAAGTTCCATTGAGGTCAAACCTGTCGATCCAAGTGATGAACCAGCCCTTCTCCGTTTCGTCAACCACACAATGACCAGCCTTGCCAAGAAATCTCACAAAGCCAGTCAGCGTGCACCACCTGGTTGCGTTCATGTGGACGTGCTGTTTATTCCCAATATAGTCCTGGTAAACCTTGTTTGCCAACACTCGCTTAGTTCCGTACTGTCTCCTCAGGATGTCCATAAAGCCATCATAGAACTCTCTAGAATTTTGCAAAAAAAATTTAATGCAGTTCAAGCTAGATATAATTTTTATCAAATTACTTGGAGAACTCTCCCATGAATTTGCCAGGGTTGTCGGCGAACATGAGGAGATTCCTCTGATGGGATTCGGACGTTGTGTGACATTTGAAGCCATTCTCGTCCCGACATTGTTTTTGACACATCTGACAGTACCAGCGCAACTTCTGAAGGCCTTTGGCCTTCATCTTGTTGGCGAGGTACTTAGGCGTACCTACTTCTGCTTTTTTACCCATTTTGAAGCCTCAAAATCGACAATTTCAACGAATTTAAGCGGAAAACTGAAATTATTGCGTTTACGTGTTTGTTTACGACAGGTACACAATGCTGCCAACAACTGGATTTTTATTGATCTGACAAAAACTAGCAAAGCATAAAAGAGGAGCTTTTTATGTGTCCATTAAATTATTAATTATTAAAATAAATAAAATTCATCAATTAAAGCAGTTGAGCATGTTTAATATTCCCTTGTTCTTGTTGCCAAATAAAAATTACAAAAATTAAGTGGATTATTTTAGGTGGCAACATTGTGTTGTGTTGCCCAATGACGTCACACACCATTTCAGTGTTGACAAAAGTGAGAGGAAGATTTTTTATCATTTTTAAATCGCCAATCTATTAAATATACACAACTTTGCACTTTTTCGTGTGAGATTTCTTTTATCTTAATTGTTTTTGATAAGCAACAGTATCAAAATGACTAGCTATATATGTAGTATAGCTGTCCTTAAATAATAATGATCTCGTCTTTTTCTTCACAGAGCCGGTTCAGTTTTAGGAGTGCTCCCTTCTTTGAAACCGTTCGCCGCACCTTTAGCACTCAGCAGCCATCAAAAATGAATGAAAAATTCCATCTTGCTCAAGGTCAACAACTTTACTCTTCTTCATCAGTTTATTTATTTTCAAAAATACAATTAATATTTTGAATATTTTATGAAATCCATGTAATTTTGAAACAGGCTCTTCCCACACTCCTGTGGAGAAAGGAGGAATGCGAATTTACAACATGCGCTTCTGTCCTTACGGCCAGCGAAGTCTCCTTGTCGGCACTGCCAAGGGCATAGAGTATTATTGCACTTGACAATTGCAAAGAGGCATTACTACTATCAGCTAATTGTTTCAGTTTTGAAGTTGTTAACGTCAATCTGGTGGACAAGCCTGATTGGTTCTTGGCCCTGAACCCTTTGGGCCAGGTTCCGACACTTGAGTACAGCGATGGACGAATCCTTGCCGAGTCTCTGATTGTGTCCGAGTACTTGGACGAAATCGGAGACAGTACCCGTCCGTTGCAGTCAAAGGACCCATTCCAGAGATCCAGGGACAAAATGCTGATGGAGCGTTTCAACATGGTACTTAATTTGAATTAAAATTTATTTAAAAATTTAATATATATAATTTTTTGTAAAGGTCATCAACCCTCTATTCAAAGTGATGTTGAACCTCCACAAGCCAGATTTGGATTTGAGTCCTTTTGATAAAATGCTTGACAATCTTGAAACTTTCGAGAAGGAGCTTGTCAGTCGTGGAACTAAGTTTTTCGGAGGAGACAAGCCAGGCCTGCTTGACTACATGATTTGGCCTTGGTTTGAGAGGTTTGAGATCCTCTTTGCTATGGGCAATGAGAGCAAGTTGAAGATTCCCCAGTCCCGTTTCCCCAGACTGGTGAGGAATGCTAAAACAAATTTAAATTTTAGGTCTTAAGATGAGTATTTTTGTTTTATTTCAGTTCAAATGGACCAATGAGATGTTGGAAGACGAGGCAGTCAAGACTTGGTGGCTGCCCCTTGATGCACACGTGCAATACTTGAAAGCCCGCCTGTTTGGACCTGTTGACTACGATTTCCTTGCAAGGCAGCCACAATCCAATATTTAGTTTGTGGAGAGAAGGATGAAGGAGGCAAATAATTTTTGTATATTAAAATCAATCAAAATGTGATCAATATGGAACCATGATTGAAAATCTGAGGCCTATATTAACAATTACAACAGATTTACAAAATATTCCAAATTTATAATCTATTTTTGTATAATAAAAAAAATGATATGCAAATAAATATTTTTTGCAGAATATATTAAAAATGGGTTATGTTTGTAAATAATTTGTATATTATTTCTATAACCCAAAATTAATCACTGACTATTTTTGTGTATTAATTTCATTTTTGAATTGAACGTCCTTTAATTAATTTCTTGTAAAATCTAAGAGAATTGTGAACAAAAGAAATTATTACGATTTTTTAATGGAAAAACCGGTTTGTTAAAAATTTCAGCGAGTCGGTGAAAAACCGTCGCAAATTATACCGATTCGGAAGAAAATGGCGTCGGCAGGCAGACGTGCCGTTCGATCGGCCTGCATTTTACTCGTTTTATTCCACCTTTCTGCACTGATATCGTCAACGAAAGTCGCAGGTTAGTTTTTAGACGAATTTTGCTTGCCCTCGGGCGAAATTAGGTGGCCGCTGCAAACGCCTAGCGTAGAAAGAAAGGCAAAGTTCATCGTCCCCTGCGTCGCAATTCGCGATGCTTCACTAATTATACCGTTAATTACGTCAAGCCTGGGTGATTCGGGCCGAAAGAGTGTTCGGCGAGTGCGGTTGAACGGCCGAAAACAACGTGGACCGATTGAAGGGGCCCAACGTAGTCGGCTGAAGGAACGTGGGACGATTAAATTGGCACTCGTTCAACCTGTTGCTTCACCTGTGCCAATAAAATCGATTGCCAGAGGCAGATGCTGAAGTTGTAAATGGCTTTGTTTCACGATTTTAACTAGAAATATGTTAGTGTTAATTAATTTCAATGTGCATTTCTTAGTCATAAATTCAAACAATTTATTCATGGAACATTGTCTCAAAACTTTTTTTTATTACATACATAAAACCAGCATCAAAATTTCATCATTATTATTTTTACAGCTTATCTAATTTTGTTGGGTTTTTGCGGTTGAGGTATTTGGTTTTTTTTTATCACTTTTACATTCATACATGCATGCATCGTCATTGTACGAAAATAGGCTATTCTAATGTTGTGAATTTTTCAATTGCAGAAGATGGATCATTTTCGTATTATGAACCGCCGTCGCACAACATCGAACGAAGGGCTGTCGTTTCATCAACACCAGCCGTGGTCACCTCCAGCCAGGCGCCTCCGCCGCCTCCAACGACCACCACCCCTATCCCTCCATGGGCTGATTTCCCCGAGTTTCCGGACAACAAGACTTTCACCGAACATGATATTCTGCAAACCTCAGAGGACCACCACAAGTATTACAACAGCACCTTCCTTGTTGATGCCAAGATAGCCAAGGAGTTTTGGGTCAACATGGACTCGAGGAAGGACGTGCAGGTCAACAGCATGCTCTCGGACTCTCATCGAAGGGCAGCGGTAATTTATTAATTGTTATATCAAATCTCCAAAATCCTCTTCTGATATTAAACTACAGAAATCCTAAAATCCTCCTGTTCAAATTATTTGTGCATCCTTATATTTTTATAATAATTAAATTTTTTTGTTCAAGACGGTCAAGTTGTCATTTGAATTTCCATTCTACGGGCACTACGTGCGGAATGTGACGGTAGCAACTGGTGGTTTTTTGTACCTGGGTGATTATGTGCATGCCTGGCTGACTGCCACTCAGTATATTGCGCCCCTAATGGCCAACTTCGACCCCAGTGTGTCCAACAACAGCTACGTCAAATACGTAGACAATGGTAAATAATTTTGATCAAATTTCAAGCAGCGCTAAATTTTCCATTTGCTACTTTCTGCTTACAAAGGCAATTCTCCCGTAAGTATTGTAGAGCAGATGCATAAATTAACAATAGCTAGTCTATTAAATTTTCTAATGTTAATTCATATCTGAGTATAAATTCAATACAAATAATTTTGTGTTAAATTTTTGTTTTTAAAGCTTTTGGTTCTTAAAATTCATTCTCTATTTGCCATAGTAAAAACAAAATGATAGTTAATTTTTCATTTTTTTCCTTGCAATTTTAGGAACTGCCTTTACCGTTCAATGGGAAAATGTCCATCTGAAGGATCGTCCTGAAAAGGGAGAGTTTACTTTCCAGGTGACCTTGCACAAGAACGGCAACATCATCTTTGTTTACGAGCAGGTTCCTGTCAAAATAGAGGAAATCGATGATGAAAAGCACCCCGTCAAAATTGGTATTTCTGATGCTTACATCGTAGACAAGAATATTTTCTGTAAGTAAAAATGTGGTAATTACCTTAGGTGTAAAGTAGATTTCACCTGTGGTATTGCTTATAAGAATATTAATGGACATTATAAGCTCCAGTTCGTAATGGTTATTTTGGTTGGAAGGTTCTAATTAAATTTTTTATTAATTTTAGTTGTTCGGAAAAAGACAATTTATGAGTACCACCGTGTGCACTTTACCAAGAGTGACATTCTTAACTCGACCATCATTTTCTTGGTGGCGCTCCCCACCTGCTCCATGCTCAAAGACTGCACCACCTGCACAGGTGTCAACATTGGGTTCGAGGTTGGAACAAGTGAATTTGAATGAGGCGGGAAAATTCAATTCTTTTGTATTGCAGTGCCAGTGGTGCCCGACTATTGAGCGGTGCTCCGACGGTGTGGACCGCAACCGTCAAGAGTGGCTGGCCAAGGAGTGCCACCTGCAGAATGTGACTAAGCCGACACAGTGCAGTCCCTCCGAACGCCGAATGTCGCCCACCGTCCAGCCCATCTACAATCTGCCCACACAAGAGCCAGCGGCTGAAACTCGACAGGGAGAAGAAGAACAGTCTTCTGGTAATTTTCAACTTTAAATTAATTCTTTAATTATTACTTGATAGCACATAAATTATTGGTAGTTTTTATTTTTTTTTTTATGATTTATTTCATAAAATACTGGAATTCAAAATTTGAGACAAAAAAAAAAGGAAATTCATAGAAAGATTATATTAGTTTATTTAAAACCAGTATCATGTTTGAATATGTAATAAATATTAATATAATTATATTTCTAATGTTTTTACTTGTAAATTAATGGGCTTCATTTTTTTTGCAGGAGGTTACTTGGCTGTTGCATTTGCTGTTTTGCTCAGTTGCGTGGTGCTCACGTTTGTTGTGTGGGCCGTCTATGCTTATCTCAATCCTCACTCTCCCTCTGGCCAATTCTTGATTCGAGTAAGTTGAAATTATATTTCGAGTTTCATCATTTTTATGAAAATAGTATTTTTTTGGCAATGTTCAAATTTTATTATTATTAATATATTGTTTTATTCAATGCTGACTCAATAAATAAATTTGATCTGTTTTTCAGTACCGACCCAACCAGTGGCAGTGGCGACGAGGTGAGGCGCGTTACATGGCAGCGACCATCCACATGTGAGATCCTCCTCGGCCAATTATAGTTGAAATCGATGCGAATCGGACAGCTTCCTAAGACTCATTGTGATTTGATTGGAGGTCGAGACAATCCAAATGGTTTTTGATCTAAGTCTTCCCGAATTTAGCTGAGGAGAGAGTGAGTGTGTATTTGCAAATTTTTGAGAACGAGCTTAACCAAAAATAACTCATTTATTGTCTGATTGTATTTAACGAAGGCATTCTCACCACTTGTTTTTATTGCAACGTTGAAAAGACAATTTTTAAATGCTGTTTTAATTGTTACTGAAAATTTTTAACCCTCTGTAATCATGAATTGAATCAGAATTGAATTTAAGTTCTGCGTGCAAGCGAATGAAAGGAAGTTGCTGTACATTATTATTTAATTTTAAAAATCGGATCACGTTAATTCTCAAAAGTATCATGTAATAGAGCTTTGGTCATTATTTAATTTTTAGTTAGCAAGAAAGTAAAAGACGAGCACCGATTAATTATACTTATAGTTTATTATTACTCTTATTGTCTGTTGAGAAAAGTTTGTGTAATTATTCATGTAATGCAACGAGAGTGAAATAAATTATTTCGACGAGACTATTAGCAATATTGGCGCGTGTCACTTCTTCCTTTTCCTATTTCTGCCGGATCGTGGAAATGCATTACTGAGGTCAGTCTCTGCATTTGATTGTCCTTGATTGGGAGTATGGGAAAGCTGTCCTTTTATTGTCGGAGCACCTGATGAGTCGCTTGCTGGTCACGTTCGCGGAACATTGAACACATAAGTTTATCTGTTCGCTCGGCAAATCTGCGATCCATCTTTGCAACATTGATTTATGCAAAAAGAAAATCTAGTTTATTTTATAAAATGCGCCATTCAGAAATAATGTGTAACAAACATCGTGACTGTGAATATTTTGCAATAAAAAACAGGTGTGCAACTATTGCTCAAGAAAAATTTTGCCAGCACACATGTTGACAGTTGTAGATTGGCACGTGGGGTGAATTAATAGTCTTTATTTACTTTGGTGTAAAAAAATAATACTTAAATACAAAATTAAGGATGAGATAGTTTTGGCAGTTCAATTTTTTTTTTAATTATGGAGCATTATTTTGATATTCATTTTTAATTTTTTATAAATTTTTATTTTGAGCTGAGCTGCAAAACGTGTCTGGAATCGATCGAAAAGCATATTTTGGTTTGAGTGCCAAAAGTTTGCGGTTTGCACATGGGCTGCTGAAGGCAAACAATACGTGCAAAGCAACGTGCTCAGAGTTCATATCGAGCTTTTGAATAGCGAAAGCCGCCCCCACTCGGCGTGCGATATTCCAGCAGCGCGTGAGCCGTCCCCGGAGGCAGTCTTCGTCCAGCCTCAGTCCATGAAGTACACGGTGAGTAATTTCAGCTCTTTTTATGAATTTTTTTTTATTTCTTCCAAAATAATATAAAGATACCCAGAATTAAATTACTCCGATTATTTTCTCCAAAAAGGTATTGAAAAAAATTAATTAAATTTTAATTGTGTATAAATTCCTCATTTTAAAAAGCATTTTAACTTTTAACTTAATGTACTTAATGTACTTTGCGCAATGGAATTTTAAAGATTTAATTCTGATTCTTCTCTCTGAGTGTAGCTTATTAAAAACAAAGTCACGCAGAGTAAATCTTCTCGCGCACAAGGCTATATGCAGTGGAGAAATGTATGTAGCGAGTCTTCATCTCTGGATCTCTTCTTATAAATTTATTTCACTTTCGATCAGCAGATTCACGAGGCGCGCAGTTAAAACTAACTACTCTTGAAACGGCATATCTCTCGTATGTACTCTGGAGACATGAATTTCTAAATGTGTTTTTAATTTACTATTTTATCCACTCTCAACTGCGTAAATGGAGCATCCTTTGAGCGATGAGATCATGCTTTATATAGAATAAGGCTCTATTCATTTTGTCTCGTTCCCGCACTTTTCATTGAGCAAACACGTTTTTCACATTAATAAAAGACTAGCAAATCACGTGTCAACTCCAGCAACACACTTTTATAATGAGTATTAAATTTAAAAAAAAAAATGAGCATAGTAGCAGATAATTTTTGTTTTTAAATGCAATATAATTCAAGTTAAGTAGTTAAGTAACAAAATATTTTCTAGCTGTTAAAAAATTTTAAACAATGTAAAAAAAATTTGTTTTTTTTCCAACTGATTTTTTACAATCTAGAAATTTTTGTTTATCGCTGGATATATTTTAGCAAATGAATAATTTGTATCTTTTCATCTTTTGTATATTCGAATCGAAGCAAACCTTTGACAGGATTGACAATTGGAATAATGAATTACCTGTCACGGCAAATAGAGTTCAGCCTCTCTTTTTTTCACGCTCCGCCGTCTGTATCTCTCTCTGTTTTTGTTATTTTTGACGGCGCTTATTTTAGAAAAGCTCTCGCTCTCTAAATCGAAAAGTCGCATGGGAAATGGCGAAGAAAGATTCATCTCCGGTGCACTGCAACGGTCGCGAAAACCAATCCACGGGTGGTTGCAAATTACTCGATCGCTAAACCGTTTCTGCCACAATGGCTATATTTAGTGCGAGAAAAAATTTAGCCACAAAAGTGTGGTTAGTTTTTACATAATAATATTGAAGTTAAAATATGCAGCATTGAAGCCGAAATTATAAATTTACTTTTTATAACATGAAACTGTGATTAGTTTTTACTCGCAACAGAGTAAGAATAGAATATAAAACACTCAAATTTAAAATTACATGTTTTGAAGATTCTGATATGTCTTTTAGTAAGGATTTAAATTATGTTAAAATCATTTTCTTTTTGGACAAAAATTGACGGATGAGCTAATATATTTCAATATTTCCCCATATTTGCAAAGATTCCAAAGAGAAAAAATGGATGTCACTTAATAAACTTGAGAAGTAAACAAATCCGTCATTTTGTTATTATTCTCCAAAAACGGTTTTCTAAAAGTTAGGAAGTTTGAATTGTCAATTAAGATCTATCAATTTCTGACATTTTTTTATTCTCCAAGTCAAGACTCTTAATATAATTTTTTATTTTTGCTTTCATATAAATTAGGGAGAGGTTTTTGTTGAATAAGCGTGCGGTTTTCACAAATATTAGGATGACAGTAAAAGTACTTTACGTAATTTCCTCACAGTGACATAATCATATTTTATCAAATAATTCAACTTGTATAGAAAAAAATGAAGCAGAGAGCAGATTGAATCGAATTGCATCAGTGACACGAATCGCGGCTGCAGATCTCTCAGCATCGCGAAAATGAAAGTGGTGCAAACGAGCGTGAAAAATCGCCGCGAGGAAATCGACAGAGGTGTGAAAAAAGCCGCCAAAAAATAATAGAAAGAAAAGGAAATCAGTTTGTCAACTCGCTGCGTTCGCAATCGCTCGACAATGGAAATTATTTTCACATGTGCCAAACTGTCACGCACCATTTTTTCCGATTTGCAAAAAAAATGAATTGATTGGGAAACTCATAATTCTTCGGCAATGATTTTATGCTTTTTGTAATTGGCGTTTCATCTGACACGGATTGCAAATTTTGACGCCGTGCTTAAAAAGCGTTTAAATTTTTGAAGCGGTCAAAGGACGATGCGCATTACGATAAATGACTCATTGCTGCACGCTGCATGCCCCTTCATTACAATCGCACTCCACTGACGTCACAATCACAGCTCAGTGTGTGTCTGATCTGACCTTATCCCTTATCCACAGCATTCCAAGACCGGCATTAAAAATATTTTTCCTAATGTGATAAGAAAATTATTAATTTAAAAAAAAAATAGAATAAATGTGTTAATTAGCATAATATAAATTTTTAATTTTCAACGAATTTTATTGTTAAATTCTGTTGCAATTTTCATATCTTATGGTAAACTAAAAGCAAGCGTACTTCTTAAAAATTGAAAGATTTAATTTGTTTCTATTTTTAATCAACTTTTTTTAATTCGTCAAAATATTTATTTTTCTCTACCGGCCAAAAATCGATTTAAGAAATGGCTGCCAAACAAAATTTTAATTTTATCTGCCTTCGGAACATGTCCTCGGTAGTATAGTGGTCAGTATCCCCGCCTGTCACGCGGGAGACCGGGGTTCGATTCCCCGCCGGGGAGGCTTTTTGAACATCGGAATACAAATGTATTCTTCAATGAATTTTATTTCAGATGTTTTTGGATCCCATCTTTCATTTTCAGTTTTTATTTTTTTTTCGAATCGATAAGAGGGTGGTTGATTCACCCAAATGATGTTTTTTGTTCTGCGGAACACAAAAGGTGCTGCGGTGAAACAAACAACAGGCGGGAACGTAAACAAGACGTAGGTTTTGTATGCAATGTCACTCGCACGCCTAGAGATGCACATAACATTTTGCTCGTTACGCAAAAGCTCGCATCTTTTCAAATCAAAGTGGAGCAGCGCAAATATGCAATGAGCACAAAAGCAGGTGCGTCATTTCAAACAATAGGGGACCCGCGAAAGAAAGGTTATGTCACAATTTCATGCACCGAGCATTATTTTATTATTTTAAATATATATCAAATTTCATTTCCATGAGTTGCAAAAACAAAACATAATGTACGAGACTAACTGACGGTGAAGAGCGTTTTGATTACACATTGTTACACATATTTTCATTATTTATATCCTCATTGGCTTGGAAAAATGAAACCGCACTGGTTGGAATATTTAATTTATAATTTTACGTCTTTATTTAAATACCAACTTTGAATAAATTTTTCTATTTTTAATCTGAATAATTAGAATAATGTAGAATCAACCGACGTTTAATTGGTATCTAAAATTTAATCTCTGTAATGTTGAAACCGTATTTTATCTTTCTAAACTAATAAGAGCATTTTAATTTCAAATCTCACGGCTCAAATTTATCTGGCGGGAAAGGATTTTGAACTCGAAGCTAGAAATTTGAAGCTTATTTCAGAGACTCTAGAAAGGGACGACAGAAGTTTTTTCTACTTTCAGTAGTATTATAAACAATGAAATATATGGGTTTGGATCTTTTGTAAAAGCTATTTTTTCCAACTATATCCCATGTTTGATTTAAAACTCATTCTAGAAAACGCAGCAAATTTTCTTTTATAATTTAAAAAAGTTACAACAACCAACTAGTACAAGTTTTTGACAAAAATTTGGATTATTATAATTAATTATTTTCTTGCTTTGGGGTCGGACGATTTTGCATTTAAAATTGTCGCACCGCGGCCGCTGCTTTTTTTATTGTTCGAAAAAACACAATGGAAAGCTTTGGGTGCGTTTTGGCAGCGCAACGGCGCCTTAATTGGCAGGTCACTCGCGCTCTGCGGCACAGAAAGAAGTTGATGGCCAAGGTCGATCGGCGTCGAGTGTTTGCCAACAACACTTCCGCCCTTTTCGTCCATCAATATACCTACTGCCGCTCTTGACGACAACGTGATTCCGAGAGAGTCAATTGCACTTCGCGTGCTCCTCCTCGGTTTTCAACTCGCCGCCGCCATGAAAACCAATTGGCCAACATTAATCTCCAAACATTGTCTTCCCGCAACCAATTGGCGTGAGAATTAAGACACACTGAAATCGTCTCAAGTTCTAAGCTTTCAAAATGTAAAGCCAGAAACTAATAACAATTAATTATCTACGAATCGTTTTATTTATTTATTTGTTAACTCAAATTTATAATAATTTTGTTTTCGCGGTTTTTTTAATTTGATTAATTTTGTGGGTTTTTGTGAGTTTTTATTGTTTAAGAAAAAACAATATCTTGCTCTTTTTCTTAAACAATAAAAACTCACAAAAACCCATCGAGGAAAAGCCAAATTTAAATTCAAATCACCATGAATCAACCCTCGATCGTGAACTTCTACTACAAAATGAAATTAATCTTCGATCTTTTTCAGATCATCAAATCTTAAAAATGTGAATTCTTTCCTATTATTAATGTTGACTTAAAAGTCACTAACTGAGTTAAAAATTCCGAGGAATTAAAATGCATATGCTTAAATAAACAATGCTTTTGGAGCAAATGTGCACATTTATATGATTTTGTTCAATCAAACTGAGAGGCGCTGAAAGCTGCATGTTATGTTAACATTATGAACATAAAAAGAGATCAAAAAGATCTTAAATATACCTGACTGTGTTAACCAATTTATCTCATTATATTTCTGAGCTTAAATTGGATTTTGGAGAATTTTAAGAACAAAAATCGGGGTCTCGATGTTAAAATTCATACTTGAAAGTTACCAACTTTTCTCTCATTTTCCGGGAAGTTTGTCAGTCAACATTTATTATGCCTAAAATTTCTTGCTTTACGAATTTCCATCCAAATTACGAATTTGCTAAGAAAGAATTAGTTTTTTTACACATATTTTTCTTCGTAATCAGAGCAGAGTTTGTTTGAATTTCAAAATTAGCGGAAAAGATTTTTTCGCGAGAACGCCCGTGGTGCGAATCGCCATGAAAGAAGTATGTAAACAAGCGCGAGTGAAATTGGCGGCTGATTGAATAAAACGCGCGCGACACTAAATGGAAATGATGCCTCCCGCTGGCCCGAGAATTAATTTAGTCGCGCCTGAATAAAGAGCGGCTAATGAAAGAAAGGCCCAAATTGCGTAATTGCGGCCCGCGAGAGATGCCGTGTTGGAAATATAAAACGCGCGCGGCCGCCGCCACCGCGCTTTGCATCCATCAGTAGCCTAGGCCGCTCGGACACTCTCGCACCAACACTCGTCGCGCTCCTTACTTTATGTTTTACATCCGAATCCTCAGGATGATCGAGATGCAACAGGTTCGTCTATTATATCCTTCATTTTGGCAAAATTATTCCAAAAATTTGAAAAGAGACCATTATAATTCAATCTTAATAAAAAAATACAGAAGTTATTACTAAATATATTTTTTAATTTATCGGTAGGATTTCGAAAATCTATCAACGCGTTTTTCTTATAGATTAGTCAATCGGAACATTTCACAGATATAATTTATGCACAAATGAAGTTATTATATTTTGATTAAACCTTGAAACTCATTTTAAACTATAACAAAACATTTCTTTAATCTTATCATCCAAACCAACGAAATGACCGACTCTTCAGATTTTTTTTTCATACAAAATTGATTCATTTTTCACTTGAAAATCTGTAAATTATTCCAATCATTCTGAAAAAAAAATCGTATAAAATTTACTTCATTTAAATAAAAATGATAATCATCACTGTATAATAAAAGGAAAAATGAGGAAAATTCAAATTTCACAATTTATACCTCCTAAAATATAAATAGTATATTTAGAAGTGTCTCGGTCGTTTTTAGAGCATAAAAATTTGACTGCAATTTAAATTTTATTGTAATGAAAAATTAATTTAAAAAAAAAAAAAAAAATCTTTAGTTAAAATATGATAATAAAATCACTGCAATCTAAAGTCTCTTACTTTCTTATAATCAGAATCTGAAATATGTCTGATGATAAATTAGTAAATTACTACATTAAAAAGGGCTTAAAGTGTAATTTTTAAGTAAATTAAATAAACTAATATCTTAGATCAAAGATATGGTTTGATAAAAATTAATTTAAGGCGTTATCAAATATTCAGGTTTACCACATATTGGGTTTTGAGTCATTTTTTTATTTCGTTGTAAAAAACCAATATCCTGCTTTTGAATTGTAAATTCTAACACCATCAATCAATCCTCTATTGTGAAAATCTTTAACAAAATTTATATATAATTTGAGTAAAAAATTATTTATCAAAATTATATTAATAATAATTGCTAATAATTGCAAAAATGTAGAAAGACATAATATTGTATATTTATATTTTTTAAATTAAATTCCAGAAGAATTGTTTTAAAATTTGTTTGAATCAGTTTCAATAAACGTAAATTTTATTGCACATCTCAATATTAAATTGCTTTTCTTATCCAATTTTAAACTTAATACTTTATTTAACTAAAAGAACTATTCCAGCATTATATCACAGGATCCTTTCAATTTTCATTGCATTACGATGCTTTTTTTAAATTGTGCGAGCAGAGGCGTAAATAACGAGCATCATACAATGAGCGCGACGAATAATCAAGTGCAGCTCGCAGTGAGCGAATGCAGTTTTGCTTTGTTTCGCATTCAATTCATTCAAAGGCGCGGGAGGATGTACTTTGCTGTCGCAGTCAGTGAAAGTCGGCGCCGGCCAGACACCGACAATCATTGTGATTTAATCCACCGTCCTCTTTTTTTCCACTCGGGAGCGAAAAACTCTGTTGAATGCGCGACCAGATGAAAAAAAAACGTGTCGCAACTAGAGTGAGAAAAAAATCATCACACTTTTCTAATTTATCAAAGAGTTAATTGCTTATCAAAGAAGCTATGAACACTCACATTTAGATGAAAAATAATTCTATGAAAATTATACTTTTGACGTTTCAATAAAAAGGAAGTTTCTCCATTGCAAAATATTTTGAGGGAATAAAACACGTATATTTCTTCTTTCCTCAATTTTAGTGCATCCCGTTATTTTATTCGAGTAAAAAGGATTGTTAAAAGAAAACTTTCTAACACACGACAAAAGTAATCTATGGTCAACAGATTAATTTCCGTTTATTAAATTGCTTAGATTCTGAATCAAATTGAACAAACTTCCATTCGTTGAGCAATTCTGATATACAGTATGTCTTTTGTATACAGACAGATTCAAAAGTCTCTTTGGAAAGTTAATTTTGGAGAAAATTAAAGAAAATTGACAGTTTTTTTATGTTTCCCTACAATAACTTTCCTCAGGAAATTTAGGAAGTGATTAACTCAATATTTCTAAAAAAAGCATTGATTCGTAACTCACAACCTCAATTGAATATTAAAAACGTGATCTAATTTTAATTATCAGGGGTTTACGAGTAAAAAATTTAAATAATACAATTTGACGTCGATATAAAGATTAATTTTGAACGTAACAAAGTAATTTTTATTCAAAAGAAAATTAAATTCAAAAGTTAAATTATATCTATATTATTATTTTTTTTTTAATTGAGAGGGTTTTTTATTTTCAGGTGAGTGCGCCAGGAGAGCCGGACAGCTCCGCAAACAGTCCGCGAAAGGGTCCGATTGTAAATATAAGGTTGGTATAATTTGGAATTTACAACTGCGTATCACTTTTGAACGTGAATTGGAATCAATCGAAGCTCTCTCTCAGTATCAATCACGGCGGAATTGAGTCCAATTAGCGCAAAGTGCGCGTCTGTCTGCACAATTAAGTTTGCATCTCTTTGCAGCGCCGGGATGTCCGGCCGCCTGGTGTTGGTCATCGTGCTGCTGTCGGCGGCCGTCGTCGCCCTCGCCGTCGCCATGCTTGTCCTCACCTCCACCAGTGAGTGCAATGGCCGAAATTTCAAATCTTTTTTTACAAACCAAATTAATATTTAATATTATTTCTTATTTTTAGAAGCACAGAGACTTGCAGAAATGATATATTTTAATAAGAACAATAAAAATTTACAATTCAATAAAATTAATAAAAATGAAAGAAAGCAAAATGAAATGTGAAAATTAAATTCAAACAAATCAAAATATGGGGAAAAACTACAATAGCTTGTTTATGCTACTGAAAGTAAGAAATGAACTGAAATACCTTTTTATTGCCTTTATATCTATTTAGCAAAATATTAAATTTTTGTAGCCATGGAAATTTCTTAAGAATTTTGCATTTTTTTTCTTTCAAAATTTTACTCGATTGTTAATCCATCTATAACTGTAAAAAAATCGCATTTATTTGATAATAATATGAAAATAATAGCTAATTTTTCCTCATAAAATGTACTTTTAGAATTCACAAATTTCCTTGCAGTTGTTACATATTAAAAAAATATTAATATTAGGACTGAGCGGAGTGGCGCGTTACCATCAAGAGGAAGGTTACACCTGCCAGACCGATGAGTGCGTCATTTCAGGTGAGAATAAATAGAATATTTATAATTTATACAAAATGTCTTTTTTCAGCGGCGAGGATAATTAAGTCTCTGGACACGACCGCAGACCCTTGTGAGGACTTTTACCAGTTCGCTTGCGGGGGATGGATTGAAAACAACCCCATGCCCGAAGAGTATTCGCAGTGGGACCAGTTCAGAGCTTTGAGAGAAAATTTACTTCACACTATCAGAGGTACAAGATAAATAAAAAAGAAAAACGTAAATTTAGAATTTGTTTTGGCGTTTTTTTTTTTTTTTTTTTTTTTAAAGGCTTTTTATATTCACAGCGAGTTGAAATTTTAACTAATAAATAATGAAACTCCTTTTTAATTCTTTTAATTTATTAAATAATTTTTAGAAATCCTTGATGACAAAGACACAGCACTGACCCCAAAGCCCCTGAGCCAAGCGAGGAGCCTCTATAAAACCTGCCTAGATCAAGGTTTGTCACCATCTCTATTAATCCTTTGGATTTTTTTCTCTGCGAACGAGGTTGAAAACTTCAATTGAGGCGGAAAGGGTTGGCTCGGCGCCAAACCACGCACATCCGACAATTACAAAAATGACTTTTGTTGCACAAATTCTATATAGCACGTGACATCATTTAAATTTTTGCCTGTTGGCGCGCCTTCACTTCACTTGCCCTAATCAAATATGCAGCACTCGCCTGTCAAGTTCATTGGACATGAATTTCAGCGTGTGTTCTGAATACGCACGCCAAGACAATCTGATTTTTTTTTACAAGCACACCCACATTGAAGATTACGGAACTAGTTATATTTTCTGTGTTAGTGTATTGAAGAAAACAGGACAAAAATGAAAGTTTTTCACAATTATATTATTTTTTTTCAAGTACATTTGTTGGGAAAAGAAATTAAAGAAAATTTTGCTTTCATATCATTTTTAAATTAAAAGTTCAAATGAGGTATTGAAAAATTTATTTACTTTATCGTTATTTGTTTTGTTGATGTAAATTTTAGACGCTCTTGAAAAACTGGGAGTGGCGCCTTTGTTAAAAATCATACGATCGATCGGCCTGCCCGAAGTTCCATTTGGGCCGGAGAGTCCCCAGGCGGCCCTGGACACCGTCCCCGCCCCCTGGTTAAACGTCGTCACAAAGACGCAGAGGAATTTAGGAGCGAGTGTCCTTTTCAATTTGTACGTGGCCGAGCATCCCAGGAACACTTCAAAAAATGTCATTTCGGTAAAAAGTGAAATATATTCGTTTTTGTTTGGATCAAAAAATAAATTTCGCAGTTGGATCAGGCATCTCCAGGGTTCAGTGAGCGTTACTTGTTGGACCCGACCAGGTTTTCTAAAGAGGTGAAGCTCTACGAGGAATACGTCAAGGACATGATTGAACTTCTAGTCACTAATGTAAAATTCTATATTTTTAGATTAATCAATTTTAAAGGGTCTGGAAACCGGAAAAATTTGGAAAACTTTGATCTTATATAAAATATAAAAAAATTTATAGGAAAAACAATTGACAGAGTTAATGACTTTGGAAGTGTCCGAAAAATTAAGATTGCTAACACTTCGGAAACATTTGTTTCAAAGTGAAAAACTCCTTCAATTTTTGTTCTGAAAACAATTTTCTATAAAATGATTGAATTATTATAAAACTATCTGTCAATTTAAACTGTAATGTGCTTTTATTTTTCTGATCTTTTGAATAAATATCTTGAAAAAAGGTTCCTGGAGCGAAAATCAACGCGAGCGCCGTAGCTCAAGAAGTGGTCGAGTTTTCTAAAATGCTTGCCCACGTGACCACACCTGTGGAGGAGCGCAGGGATTTGCATTCGCAAGCGCAGGAAATGTCCATAAACGACCTGCAAAACATTTCAGACTCGAAACTTGACTTTTCAAAGAACAACCCCAGCAGAGTAAGAAATAAATCTATAAACAATTAATTTAATCAAATTTTGACTAAAAATTAGCTGGACTGGGCGCAGTATATGCGCGAAGTATTCCACGGCGTGAATGTCACCATCGACCTGGACAACGACCTGGTCATCGTCATGGACACCAAGTACTTCCAGAAACTAGCTGAGCTTTTGCAAAAAACGTCCCCGGAAACGATCGGTAAAAAAATTATTTTACAGAAAAAAAATTGACATTTTTGGTACAGATCGGTACTTGTGGTGGAGGATTTTCTCATCCCTGGCGCCGCTGACCCTGAAGCAGTTTCGTGACCTGGCGTCCGACCTGGCCCAGAAGGTGATGGGCCACAGTGCGCAGACCCCGAGGTGGAGGTCGTGCGCCTCCAGTGTCAACGCAAACTTCGGCATGGCCATCAGTTTTGAATACGTCAAGAGGCACTTCCATGAAGATGCAAGACAAAAGGTTCAAAAGCATAAAATATTTAATTTTTTTTTACCAATGAAATTTGAGTGGTTTTAGATTATATTTCCTTGTAATTAGCTTAATTAAAATTAAATAGATAAAAAAGTTCAATTTTTTAACGTGGAATGAAGTCATTGAAGGCCAAATTTTGACAAAAAAAAATATAAAATCAACTATTTTTTACCTTTTAAAGCTTATTTTAAACTAGAACAGAAAATTTTAAACTCTCTAGGTAACAATTTATTGATTCCTGAAACTTTGATGATTATAAAAATTAAAATTAATTATATATTACTTTAAATAATTCAAATACTGACAAAATCATTTTATTTAGGTTATTAAAAAAACACACATTGATCTGGGAATTTCCTGACAAGTTTGTGAATTTAAAATCCTGGACAAAGTATAAAAATCTGATCAACAATTCCAAAATTGTAGTCAAAATAAAAATTGTATGGCCTAAAACGTTTACCATTAATTTGAGCCACACTCATTCCATCTTAAATCTGCCAAATTTATATAGAATTTCAATGGTTAATTTATTTTAAATTAAAACCGTTGATCTGGCGCGCGCGCCTTGCGGTGCCGTGCTGCCGTTCCGCTTGACTCGGGGACTTAACAGGTTGCATACTTGGCAGGCACTTGAGATGGTGAACGACATTCACGTCGCTTTTGAGGAGATGGTTCACAACTTGGACTGGATGGACGACAGCACCAAGAACCGCACCCTGGAGAAGGCGCACGCCATCAGGCCGTTCGTCGGATTCCCTGAGTGGCTCCTCTACCCTGGCGAACTGGAGCGTTATTACCACGGGGTAAATTTTCCATTTTTCGATAAATTAAAAAAAAATTTGCAAAAAAAATATTTAGATGGAGGTGGTGGACGGCGAGTTGTTTTCAACATACGTCGGCCTGGCGTCGAACGCTGCGAAGCGAATGCTGGAGGAACTGGCTCATCAGCCGGACAGGAACAAATTCATTTCCTCACCCACCACAGTCAACGCTTTCTACTCCCCTGTACTGAACTCAATCAGTCTGTTTAATTTTGTATTTTTTAAATTTGTACTTAATTAATTTGTTTAGCCTTTCCGGCGGGACTTCTTCACCCACCTTTTTACGGATTGGGATTGGAGTAAGTGAAATTATATTTTATGGACAAATATTTTTAAATGTTTAATTTAAATTAGGGCCTTGAATTACGGAGCGATCGGTGCAATTATGGGACACGAACTGACACATGGGTTTGACGATCAAGGTAAGAAAATTTTGCACTTATGAAAAAGAAGAAGACGTTAATAAAAAAAAATGAATTTACAGGACGTCAGTATGATTTGCACGGAAACCTGAAGCAGTGGTGGAGTAACGAGACGCTGCACGAGTACAACCACAGGGTTCAGTGCATTATCGACCAGTATGGGAAATATCACGTCCAATCACTCGGATCAAACTTTACGGTAAATTTTTATGCCTTTTTATCCATTTTATCCATTCTATCTTCAATAAATTTGTATAAATTCAATAAATATTTTGAATAATGTGGAGTTTCTGTAATTTTAGGTGAATGGGGTTAACACTCAGGGTGAAAATATTGCGGACAACGGAGGTCTGCGTGAAGCCCAGCGGGCATACGGGTACCTCAAGGCCAGACAGATTCGCCTGGCCCGGACGCGAAAGGGCCTCGCCGATCTCGAGCCGTCACTGCCTGGTCTCTCTCACTTTTCGCACAAGCAACTTTTCTACCTGGGATTTGCACACGTAAGTTGGTACTCTATTAAAAATGTGTTAACTTGAAGAAAATTGTAACATTATTTACAACTCTGAGTATCAGGAGGTTAATTTTTAAATTAAAAATTTCCCAAAAGAGAAATATTGCTGTTGCTTCAAAAAAATTTGAAACATAAAACTCTGTCAGTTTATGTCCAAAAACAACTGATTGAATCTTTACGCAGGGTCTTCAAATATTATCTTAATATTCAGTTGTTTCAGAAACACTCTAGGTTTGGGAATTTCAAAGTTTCCTTCCAGTTTAAAATATGAATTTTAGAATGAATTGCAGTATTTCCCACATTTTCATTGCAAAAATAATCATTTAGACTATTTTAACTGTTCCTAATTTTATTATTTGTAACGTCAACCATAATCACACATTGCGTTAATCCCATTAAAGATGATAAAAGCCAATTACCGCGTCATTCGATTTATCTTAATTCGACTTTTATTGTCTAAAACTAACGCACGCGATCAAGATAGAGTAGATTGACATACTTGAAGCAATTAATCCATATTCCAAAAAAAGTCTAACACTTCTTTTGTGCCTGAACTTTCAATTTTAATTGCAATATATTTCACAAGAGCAAAAAATTAACCTTGATTGGAAAATAGACCAAACTTTTTCGAAAATCGAGTTATTTTTCAATTAATTAAATATATACAATAATTAAATGTGCCTAGATGTGGTGCGGCACTTCGACTTTGGGCGCCCTGAAGTCGACCGTGGTGGACGGCGTGCACAGCCCGAATCGCTTCAGGGTGGTCGGCACCCTGTCAAACATGCAGGAGTTCTCGGAGGCGTGGCACTGTCCGGCCGGAAGCCCCATGAACCCCCACAACAAGTGCATTCTCTGGTGATGCAAACAGACTAACTATAGAAGTGTCGTCGACTATATAAATATATATTATACAGCTGGCCATAACTTAATGTGTGCATGTGATCTCGCAAAAATCTCTGTTAATTAAATACATATAAAATTAATTGAGATTCGCTACTGTAGAACGACAATTATTTTGTAAAAAAATTGGTCTTCAATTCGGAGACACAAGTTTTAATTTTTAAGTGTTTGTATATGTGATAAAAGTTAGCAAAATTATAATACAGCTGAACTAGTTTTTATTGTGTAGAAAATTTTTGTCTTCATATAACTGTTATACCAAAAAATTTAAAAAATAATTTTGCGTTTCTTTTGCTCATCAGTTTTTAGTAAAATTTAATTTGGATTTGTTGAAGCATTTGACGAAAAGTACCGAAACGGAGCAATAAAATAAATGATCTTCTGCTCAGAGTGTCACCCCAAGTACCTTCCTATCTGGCAAAATACTGTTATGCTGACCCGCGAGAGGCGCGTCTCCTACGTCGCTGCTCCAGTTTTGCAAATCGAAAACCAAGCCAGGAAAATATAAGTGCTGAGCAAAAAATTTAGGCGAAGATTAATTAGATGAATCATAACAAATTTGTGACAATGATAAGAATTTGTTCTGATTGTTAGTTTAATTGTTTTAACCATCAAACAATATTTTTTAATTTCAGGGTAAGGAAAGAGTAAAATGAATTAAAATTAGAATATTTTGCCCAGCGCCCAGTGGGCAGCAAGTTATCTTGAAAAGTGCTCATTGAAGTCTTTTCAAGTGATCTGATCAAATTTCCAGTCAAATGGGACTTGTGAAAAATGAGTGGTGATTGTCATCTTAATGTCAACGTTTCATTACTGTGCACACATATGTTATCATTTATCATACATGTTAAAATGAATAATCGATGTTATTGGTGATGGTGATTATGATTATAAATTTACTTTCAAGAGTGCGATTATAAATTTGACGGCAGTCACTTGCCTGCTCTTTACGATTGTACTTGTCGGAAGGCATAATGAGGTACAACCATGTGGATTTGGAACGCCAGCCCAAAACATCCTGGTAAAATTTTCTGTCAATTACTGATCAAAATTTATCATTTTCTTATTATTTTCATTTGAATAAGTTAACTTTTTGAAAAGGAAGCAAAATATTTGGAATGCCCTTACTGGGTGGTATTATTTAAAATCACTTACGTTAAATTCGACAAATTAAATAAACATACAAAATGAGATATTAAATCACAACTGAAGGTGATAAAAAACATAATTATTTTACTATCACCAGACTTAATTTAAAAAGCTTTGTGCTCTCGAAACAATATTATCTGCGTGTATCAATCACTAAATAAAAATATTTTAATGTCCAAACTTAGCACAGACCTGGCATTGTTCATGATTTAAATTTAAAAATATATAAACTGCGGTAGCCACAATTGTTTATTTATTGCTTACGAAAATGAAACACAAAGAAAGACAATTTTTTGATCAGAGTAACAAATTTGTCTCTCTAAAACTAACTTTTATTTTTGGCAGCATGGACAAGGTTTGGTATCATGCAGGTGTGTTCCAGAAAATTATGATAGTCTCGGTTATCACACTGGGAGCAACAACTGTTGCTCTTTCAATAGCTTATGGTATATTGGATGCTAAAGGTCAGTGTTCAATTGATTTCTAAAGTAATATTAATTTACAATAATTCTTTAAATTTTTCATGCAAATATAAAACACGGGAAATCAATTACTTTGTTTTTGTTATTAAGAATATAATGTGAAATGAAATAAAAATAGGATTTTAATTTATTTTACTTAATGCTGAATTTTTTCAGTTCGCAACCAAATGCAGAACTCTACTCCTGACCCAACAATAATACCAACAACCACTACGTTTACTACAACAACCACCTTGCCACCGACTCCTGAAATAACAACAACCATTTCGCCATCAACTCCAGAAGTAACGACGATTTCGCCGACAACTCCTGAAGTAACAACCAATTCGCCAACAACGCCTGACGTAACGACTATTTCGCCAACAATTCCGGAAGTAACAACCAATTCGCCAACAACTCCAGAAGTAACGACGATTTCGCCGACAACTCCTGAAGTAACAACCAATTCGCCAACAACTCCAGAAGTAACGACGATTTCGCCGACAACTCCTGAAGTAACAACCAATTCGCCAACAACTCCTGAAGTAACAACCACTGACGTAACGACCATTTCGCCAACAATTCCGGAAGTAACAACCAATTCGCCAACAACTCCAGAAGTAACGACGATTTCGCCGACAACTCCTGAAGTAACAACCAATTCGCCAACAACTCCAGAAGTAACGACGATTTCGCCGACAATTCCGGAAGTAACAACCAATTCGCCAACAACTCCTGAAGTAACGACGATTTCGCCGACAACTCCTGAAGTAACAACCAATTCGCCAACAACTCCTGAAGTAACAACCAATTCGCCAACAACTCCTGAAGTAACGACGATTTCGCCGACAACTCCTGAAGTAACAACCAATTCGCCAACAACTCCTGAAGTAACGACGATTTCGCCGACAACTCCTGAAGTAACGACCATTTCGCCAACAATTCCGGAAGTAACAACCAATTTGCCAACAACTCCTGAAGTAACGACGATTTCGCCGACAACTCCTGAAGTAACAACCAATTCGCCAACAACTCCTGACGTAACGACCATTTCGCCGACAACTCCTGAAGTAACAACCAATTCGCCAACAACTCCTGAAGTAACAACCAATTCGCCAACAACTCCTGACGTAACGACCATTTCGCCGACAACTCCTGAAGTAACAACCAATTCGCCAACAACTCCTGAAGTAACGACGATTTCGCCGACAACTCCTGAAGTAACAACCAATTTGCCAACAACTCCAGAAGTAACGACGATTTCGCCGGCAACTCCTGAAGTAACAACCAATTCGCCAACAACTCCTGAAGTAACAACCAATTCGCCAACAACTCCTGAAGTAACGACGATTTCGCCGACAACTCCTGAAGTAACAACCAATTTGCCAACAACTCCAGAAGTAACGACGATTTCGCCGGCAACTCCTGAAGTAACAACCAATTCGCCAACAACTCCAGAAGTAACGACCACCTCTTCTCAAACAACTCCTGAAGTAACAACCATTTCGCCATCAACTCCAGAAGTAACGACGATTTCGCCGACAACTCGTGAAGTAACAACCAATTCGCCAACAACTCCTGAAGTAACGACGATTTCTCCGGCAACTCCTGAAGTAACAACCAATTCGCCAACAACTCCTGAAGTAACGACAACTTCTTCGCAAACAACTCCTGAAGTAACAACCACTTCTTCGCTAACGACGTCTGAAATAACAACCACTTCACCAGCAACTCCTTAAATTACAACGCTCTCTCTATCAATTCCCTAAACTCAACACCATGTAATTAAAATTATTTTTTTTTTTAATTGATAGTTGATAAGCTGACGTAAGGTTTTAGTAATTTAATTTATAAAAAATCCCAACATAGGGCGGAGTTAGAAAGTATTTTATAAAACTGAACATTATATATCAAATAATAGGTATATAAAAAAATGTGAAATAAATAAAAAATTGAAAATGTAGACGTATAGCTTAATTTTTTACTTTTTCTCCTTGAACGCCGATATAGTCAGTTTTTTTTACTACCAGAGGACTCAAAGTAAAATTTTGTTTTGCTCACCATCAAAACTGCATCAAAATGGGAAATATAGTTTTTATAGAAAATAATTTGAAGTGAGCCAATCGATTTGAAATTTAATATAGACTGATATAGACAATCTAGACAATCTCGGTCTCCAATTTTAAAACAATAATAGTAATAAGAGCCGTTTTCAAATGAGGACAAATAAAAATAATAATATATATTTTAGCACCGAGGGCCCTTGGCAATCAAATAAGTCACTATTAAATTTGATTTTGTAATTTTAAAACGGCTTGTTGTTTATGACATACAAGTTCAAAAAATTATATACCAATCTTCAATAATAATTTTAAAAATTAGGAGTTCGCTTGTATAAAAAAGTGGGTTTGTGCATTACAAATTAAAAGATTTTTTATTCAAACACTATTGAAGCACGCAAAATATTTATTAGTTTCAATTTTTGCATCTTGTCGCAATAAGTTCAACATTATATTATTTATTTTCATGAAAACTTAAGATGAAATAAATTAATTTAAAAAAGTTTCGCGGCTATACATGTTAAATAAACTTAAGGTTATATAAAAAAACTTGCTGAAACGCATCCCTCAATACAATTATTTAGGTCATGCTATGTTATTTTATTTTTCTGAATTGATTAAGGTGATGTGAACTTTGGTTTTTGGGTGAAATTTATTTAAATTTTTATCAGGCTGACTTTTATTTAAAAAAAGATGGTTTTACTAAACTTACTGTTTATAATATCTTCTTGGATATGCAATCTAAAAACCTTTAATAATATGGGTAAAAAAATGTAATCAACAATTAATAGGGTCGTATTTTAGCAGAAATATATCAATTATGTGACAAAGTAAGTGTAAAAGTAATTTATCGGACCTGCTTCAAATTAAAATAAGACGTTCGTTCATAAGCATGCTCAAATTTCAAAAGAAAGTCAGGTCCATAAGAACATATCATGAATTTAAAGCAATTATGAGTGTTTGACGATTTAATCAACCGCAAATGCTTTCTCTGAGAAATTATTATAATTGTCTCTCAAGACGATGTAAAAAACCTTGAAGTTAACATTTTTGCATCTCTTTATGAATTTATTATAGCAATCTGATTTATTTTTTTATTTTATCGTCAACAATAAGTAGAGAGGAATTATCAAGACTGGAAACCAAGCAATAAAACAAATCTGCTTTGCTTCTGCTCCAGAGTGTCACCCCAAGTACCTTCATCTCTGGCAAATTAATACTGTTATGCTGACCTGCGAGAGGCGCGTCTCCCACGCCACTGCTCTAGTTCACCTCACATCAAAGAGCAAACCAAAATGTATTGTGCGTATAACGGATAAATTACGCGCGTGAACAATATTAATTATGTAAATGAATCACTTAAAATTCTTAAAAATAATAAAAAAAATTATTTGCTCATCCGTGATTATTTGTTCACGCCTACAAGGATAAATAGCATTGCAATTGATATGATGATTATTTACATTTCCATTTAATTCACTCGCTCTCATTGATTTTCATTATCGGAAATGGCGTAATTTGAGTAATTTCACAACGGACAGAGGTGGATGAATCGTGGTGGAATGTGTGATAAGAAATTTCAAAATTTTCTAGGCATGACCAAAGCTTCTTAGCAATAAAAAATTTCAAATTCAATGACTTAAAAGTTGACCTCCGAGAGTTCATGAAAACATTTTTTTTTATTTAAAGCAAAAAAAATCTAAAATAACTTTAAATTTTTGAAAAGAAAAAACTTTTTGACATAACAAATAATTCAATTTCTTTTTTTTTTTATTGTGAAACCGTTGAAGTGCGTTTTCACAACTTTGGAAGAAAAATGACTAAAAAATAAGCACTGCAGAAATATTTTTAGCAAAAGAAACGTCGCTCAATGCCAGAGTTGTAAAATACGCGGCCAATATAAATACATATGTGTGTTATCATTATGGAGGAATAATCGCAATTTTTTGAGATTATCACTCTAGCCAGACAGGTGATTCACATAATAACGCACCAACACTCTTATGTGTGCTCATCCCGCAAAGAAGACAAAAGGCGACAGTTGCCTTGAAGTTAGGCAATTTAGGGTGAGCACTTGGACAATCAGGGAAGACACAATGCCGAGAGCGTACAACACCATGGACGTGGAAGGTCAGCGCAGCATATCCTGGTAAGTAAATACATTTGATTTAATGCAAATTAATCATTACAAAAAAATTAATAATGAAATAATTTTTAGATAGAAAAATGCTGTCTTTTATATTTAATGCATAAAAAAATCCATATTTATATTCTTCTATCTATATACAATGATAATAAAATTGCTAAAATTTGTATCGGAAAGAGCAATGAAAGCAAACAAAATTTATATTAAAGAAGGTTATACAAAAGTATTCCATGACATGCAAAATATTAAATGCAATATTTCCAATTTTTCACAGCATTGACAAGGTTTGGCATCACGGAGGATTGTTACAAAAAATTATTCTTGTGTCAGCAGTAACATTAGGTGCTACAACAGTCGGTCTTGCTATTTCGACTGGTATCCTAGATGCAAGAGGTAAGTGTCATCTGACTTGATTTTTATAGTTTTTATGTTTTTTTAAATCTCGGCATTCTTCAATATTAGGAACAATCCCCAATTTCAAAAGAATAAGATTTTTTCGTAGCCAGTATACGTATATGTATCTATTATTGCAATATTGGAGCAGGATTAAATTTTTATAGCGCTTACAAGGCTCGATACAAAAAATAAAAACAAAATTGTATTTTTTTTTTCAATTTCCTTTGTTTTTAGCGGAAGAATGTTAACTTTACAGAATAAAAAATAAAATCAGAACCCAATAAATAAAAAAATTTCATATTATTTCAGTTGGTGAACTGGAAGATCAAATTGCGAAAACTACCCTTTCACCGATTACGCCAGAAATAACGACCCTCTCACCGAATACGCCCGAAGCAACAACCCTTTCACCGAATACGCCAGAAATAACGACCCTCTCACCAAATACGCCCGAAGCAACAACCCTTTCACCGAACACGCCTGAAGCAACAACCCTTTCACCGAACACGCCCGAAGCAACAACCCTTTCACCGAACACGCCTGAAGCAACAACCCTTTCACCGAACACGCCCGAAGCAACAACCCTTTCACCGAATACGCCAGAAGCAACAACCCTCTCTCCGAACACTCCTGGAGCAACAACCCTTTCACCTAATACGCCTGAAGCAACAACCCTTTCACCGAACACGCCTGAAGCAACAACCCTTTCACCGAACACGCCCGAAGCAACAACCCTTTCACCGAATACGCCCGAAGCAACAACCCTTTCACCGAATACGCCAGAAATAACGACCCTCTCACCAAATACGCCCGAAGCAACAACCCTTTCACCGAATACGCCCGAAGCAACAACCCTTTCACCGAATACGCCAGAAATAACGACCCTCTCACCAAATACGCCCGAAGCAACAACCCTTTCACCGAATACGCCAGAAATAACGACCCTCTCACCAAATACGCCCGAAGCAACAACCCTTTCACCGAATACGCCCGAAGCAACAACCCTTTCACCGAATACGCCAGAAATAACGACCCTCTCACCAATTACGCCCGAAGCAACAACCCTTTCACCGAATACGCCAGAAATAACGACCCTCTCACCAAATACGCCCGAAGCAACAACCCTTTCACCGAACACGCCCGAAGCAACAACCCTTTCACCGAATACGCCAGAAGCAACAACCCTCTCTCCGAACACTCCTGGAGCAACAACCCTTTCACCTAATACGCCTGAAGCAACAACCCTTTCACCGAACACGCCTGAAGCAACAACCCTTTCACCGAACACGCCCGAAGCAACAACCCTTTCACCGAATACGCCCGAAGCAACAACCCTTTCACCGAATACGCCAGAAATAACGACCCTCTCACCAAATACGCCCGAAGCAACAACCCTTTCACCGAATACGCCCGAAGCAACAACCCTTTCACCGAATACGCCAGAAATAACGACCCTCTCACCAAATACGCCCGAAGCAACAACCCTTTCACCGAATACGCCAGAAATAACGACCCTCTCACCAAATACGCCCGAAGCAACAACCCTTTCACCGAATACGCCCGAAGCAACAACCCTTTCACCGAATACGCCAGAAATAACGACCCTCTCACCAAATACGCCCGAAGCAACAACCCTTTCACCGAATACGCCAGAAATAACGACCCTCTCACCAAATACGCCCGAAGCAACAACCCTTTCACCGAATACGCCAGAAATAACGACCCTCTCACCAAATACGCCCGAAGCAACAACCCTTTCACCGAACACGCCTGAAGCAACAACCCTTTCACCGAACACGCCCGAAGCAACAACCCTTTCACCGAATACGCCAGAAGCAACAACCCTCTCTCCGAACACTCCTGGAGCAACAACCCTTTCACCTAATACGCCTGAAGCAACAACCCTTTCACCGAACACGCCTGAAGCAACAACCCTTTCACCGAACACGCCCGAAGCAACAACCCTTTCACCGAATACGCCTGAAGCAACAACCCTTTCACCGAACACGCCCGAAGCAACAACCCTTTCACCTAATACGCCTGAAGCAACAACCCTTTCACCGAACACGCCTGAAGCAACAACCCTCTCACCGAACACGCCTGAAGCAACAACCCTTTCACCGAACACGCCCGAAGCAACAACCCTTTCACCGAATACGCCTGAAGCAACAACCCTTTCACCGAATACGCCCGGAGCAACAACCCTCTCTCCGAACACTCCCGGAGCAACAACCCTTTCACCAAATACGCCTGAAGCAACAACTCTTTCACCGAACACGCCTGAAGCAACAACCCTCTCTCCGAATACGCCCGGAGCAACAACCCTCTCTCCGAACACTCCTGAAGCAACAACCCTCTCACCGAATACGCCCGGAGCAACAACCCTCTCTCCGAACACTCCTGAAGCAACAACCCTTTCAACGAACACGCCTGAAGCAACAACCCTCTCACCGAATACGCCCGGAGCAACAACCCTCTCTCCGAACACTCCTGGAGCAACAACCCTTTCACCTAATACGCCTGAAGCAACAACTCTTTCACCGAACACGCCTGAAGCAACAACCCTTTCACCGAACACGCCCGGAGCAACAACCCTCTCTCCGAACACTCCTGAAGCAACAACCCTTTCAACGAATACGCCTGAAGCAACAACCCTTTCACCGAATACGCCCGGAGCAACAACCCTCTCTCCGAACACTCCTGGAGCAACAACCCTTTCACCTAATACGCCTGAAGCAACAACTCTTTCACCGAACACGCCTGAAGCAACAACCCTTTCACCGAACACGCCCGGAGCAACAACCCTCTCTCCGAACACTCCTGAAGCAACAACCCTTTCAACGAATACGCCTGAAGCAACAACCCTCTCACCGAACACGCCCGGAGCAACAACCCTCTCTCCGAACACTCCTGAAGCAACAACCCTTTCAACGAACACGCCTGAAGCAACAACCCTCTCACCGAACACGCCCGGAGCAACAACCCTCTCTCCGAACACTCCTGAAGCAACAACCCTTTCAACGAACACGCCTGAAGCAACAACCCTCTCACCGAATACGCCCGGAGCAACAACCCTCTCTCCGAACACTCCTGGAGCAACAACCCTTTCACCGAACACGCCCGAAGCAACAACCCTTTCACCGAATACGCCTGAAGCAACAACCCTTTCACCGAACACTCCCGGAGCAACAACCCTTTCACCTAATACGCCTGAAGCAACAACTCTTTCACCGAACACGCCTGAAGCAACAACCCTTTCACCGAACACGCCTGAAGCAACAACCCTCTCTCCGAACACTCCTGAAGCAACAACCCTCTCACCGAATACGCCCGGAGCAACAACTCTTTCACAGAATACGCCCGAAGCAACAACCGATCTACCAAATTCCCCCTAAGTTTTTATTACAATTCTTAAACATTATTGAAAAATTATTCAAGACCAAATGGTTTTGCTGTTCATTGTTGTAATTCAATATATTTTTAACATAGAGTTTCATTTAAAATTATTATTTAACAAGAATGTGCATTATTTACCGTGCCATTACATCTCGCTTGCTTAATTGCTTTTTGGGTTAGCTGGACCTGAATTGGGTTCTCAGCATAAGTCAGAGATGTGCAAGATCGCGGCTGGCGCGCCAGGATCTTGACCTTAGCACGTGCAAGCAGCGTAAATACATATAAATAGCGGACTCGCTTGCGCTCTGCTAGTTCTCAGGTGGCAGCCGTCCAGCACGCTCTCTCGGCACCTGCGGCTCTCCGAAGGTGAGCATCGCTCTTGAACTTGACTTTTGTGTTCTCTGCTACCAACCTATCCAAAGATTTCTGGTTTATTATAATTCATTTGCTTAAACGATTACAATTATTCAATTCTTACTTTTTTATAATACCATCCTACCAAAAAATGCATTTCATAGTTTTATAATTTAATAAAATAAAATTTCGTTTTTTTATAACCTGCAATTTTTTGTGTAATCTTATTCCCGACAGATTTATTTTTTTTAAATAACATAATTAATAAATAATAAATATAATTAAAAATTAAATTTGTTTTGGGATTGATGTTAAATTTCATTTATCTTGAAATTACGCTAAAGAGATTAACTTCTCATTTTTTTTTTTTTTTTTTTACTAACAAGGAACAAAGAGTGCATCCAACTCACCTTGGCGTGCTCAGACTTTAAATGGGTTTGAGAGGAATGCGCCAGCTTTATAAAAGCAGACAATGGCAGGCAACTTTAATTATTGTCTTCAATAAATGCTTTTTCCTTTTTCTTTACTTTTGCAGTTCACTTTTTCCTTGGATTTGAGACTAATTATTTTTGCAAATATGTGCCAAGGGAATAAAATCGTTATAATTTTTCATTTCATTCCATTCATATTATATTTTGAACAAAAGAATGCGAATAACAAAACGCGCAATAAATCCACTTTGTTTTGCAAAACAAACAAACAATTGTCTTATAAATAGTTATATAGAGTAAGTAGTGTCAGTCGCTTGCATTTTCCACAACAAAACAGAGAGGAGTCATACTTAACTTAAGCATTGGTTAATTATGTTAATTGCCTTGTTTTCTTCGCTGCACCTGAACGCAGTGATTAGATAAACAAATCACAGCTTCTGTCTTGAGCGGATTCGAAAGTAAATTACGGATCATTAAATTTTCCAATTAATTTTTATACTTTGTTTGTAACTAATTATTTAACTAAAAATACACAAAATTGGAATACAATTTTTTTCCCAGAATTGTTAATTGCATTAATAATAAAAAAATTAAACAAAAGTCTAAGCAGATTTTGTGTTTTTAATATTCTCATTATTTTATTGGATCATTCAATAATTACTATTTAATTTAAATTGAAATTTACTCAGTATCTTATATTTAAAACCTTACAAAAGAATCAGTTTCAGTCAATAGTTCTTTAGGGCAAATGATAAAAAATTATGAATGGTGATAGTATACACTCGGAATTTAAAATTTCTTATCCGCTATAATTCTGACTATTAATTCGCTGACATGAATCACGTCAAAATGACGCAAATTCTGCGTTAAATTTCACAGAATTATTAATTTACTGGTGACGAAATGAAAAAAGCAGTTTCTGAGACGCTTTGAGATAAGGCATGGAGTTTTTTATTGGCACAAAAATGCTTTTTACTGCCTATGATAGTTTCTATCACACCCTTGACTTTATATGACAGAAGGCTTTTATACACCTATAAACGAAAGCAATAAAATATTTCAAGCTAGAATAATATTTCAGAGATTTCATCTGAAGCTATAATTTCATAGAAAGCTTCCTCAATGCTGTTATCAAAAAGATAAAATCTTAATGGGGAATCTGCTGTTGGATTTGTTCGCGCTGATTGGAATGAAATCTTGCGATCGCAGAAGGTACATAAGAAGTGGCAATGAAATTGCTCAACCTCACAAGCCGCGGACAAGAAAATGCATTAGCGACGAAGAAGAAGCAGAAGTTTTTTCCGTAATTTTTCTCGTCTGGCCGCAGAGTCATCGAACTCGCTCACTCCGCGATCATAACCTTTCCAATATTGCGAGCAGCAGGTTTTTGCATAATGTCGAATCAGGCGGTCGTTGACCTTGGGTGGAGGAGCTGCTCCTTTTTCATTTAACGGATCTTTTTACTTTTTTATATATCAAATTGGACCATCTGCTCGTATTTTGGCTGCGACCCGTCTGGCCTCGGGGCAGCCGGAGTTTAAACAAAGATTAGAATGAGCCGTGGTCAGCGAAAATTATTTGCAAGCAACGAGAGGTACAAAATAATTGCTTCTGTTGTTGAGATTAGAATTTGGCTCATGTTGGCTAAAAAAGTATATCTTGATTTGCAACAAGATCAAATTAAATTATAATTATTTTTTGATTGATTGAATTGGCTTTATCAAAAGGTAAATGTAATGTATTTTTAATAAAAAAAAAAAAAAAAAAAAAACTGGAAAGTTTTTGTGGGCTTTCTGAAAAAAGATTGAGATTTTAATATCCAAAAGTGAAAATTTTAATTTTATATTTCTTTTTGGCTGTTTATTCATGAAATTCACATCATAGCTTGGACGTAGGAACATTGCAAGTGATTAAAAAAAACACTTACTTGTCAAACGTTTAAAATCTTTTACATTTTTAGTCCAATTTTTTCCAGGAATAATTTTTTCCCCGAGACTCAAAACGATTCGAAATATAAAAATCCACAAACATTCTAATATTTCTTTCTCAAAGCTTTGCTACAAAATTTTTAAGATGCAAAATGTGATCATTTTCATTCAATGCATGTAAATTTTTTTTGTTTAAATTAGGTCATTGAATTATAAAACTAAATTAAAAATCTCACTCATTCCTAAGTTATTATTGGGCTATCCTAAAAATTTATGGGCACAAATCGTATTTATCAAATATTTGAAACACACTAATGTATCCTATTTTTTGATAATCATAATAAATTAGAGTTAATTTTTTTGTGTTAATGAATTTTTCCTCTGATTGCAGCTTAAGAAAAATGGTGGACAGGACGATGCTCGTTCCTGTTTTGCTGGCGTTCGTCGCGATTTGGAGTAGCTCAGTCGTAGGCGCCGGTGAGTTTGGCAATAAATAATAAAATTTCCACTCTTCAAAGATACGCGATTATATATTATTACTGAGAATTGATGGTGGCAAACAGTGCAAACAACATTATCACAATTATACTCGGTACTGAGTAATCGTCCTAAATGATTCTAGATAATTTTATATTGTGAAAATAACACATAAGCAAGGCGAGGCAATAATTCGGAATTAAGAGCAGCGAATAGAGAGATAAATTAATCTTGCAATAATATTTTCATAAACAATGAGTGACATGCTGTATTACTTAAAGGCATATTTCACATAATATATGATAAAACGTATTTTTTTCACTCATTTGTCAAATTTAAAAAAAATCAAATTAAACGTTCTTAGCTACATAATTTATGTGATTAAATTAAATTTTTATGTTTTTCCCACATTTTTCAAATTTTTTTAAAACAAAAGCTTTCAGACAGCTTGGTAAGGATACGCAAGAATTTTTAAATCATAAAATTCCTTTAACTTCTTAATTAATTTTCATCTTTGCCAATTTTTGCTCAGTTCTCAAAAATAATTGAATGGAACAACATTTCTGATTCAATTTTATATTATTAAAAAAAAAACGAATTTTGATTTAAGTTTGTACTATAACTTTTTAACCTCAAAATTTCCAAGTTCAGTTTTAAATTCACAAATAATTTTTCACGGATCTTATAATTTTATTTTTAGATGACAAAGCGCGAGTTGTGTGCTACTTCAGCAACTGGGCCATCTACCGGCCCGGAATTGGGCGTTACACGATTGATGACATCCCTGGCGACATGTGTACCCACATTATCTACTCCTTTATCGGTGTGAGCAACGTCACCTGGGAAGTCCTCGTGCTCGACCCTGAGGTTACACGCAAATGAAAATAAAAACGTGCTGCTCAATAAATTACAATCCACTTTTGGCAGAATGACGAGGAAATGCGAGGATTTGCAAACTTCACCGCGCTGAAAACCAAGTACCCCGGAATTAAGACCGAGTTGGCCGTCGGGGGGTGGGGAGAGGGAGGTCGCAAGTACTCGGAAATGGTGCACGTCGACGCCAGGAGAGCTTCTTTCATCAGCAGCGTTGTTGGTAATACAAATTTAAATATTTTAAATTATTGAGAATAAATCTCGACCAAATGAATTAATTAGAATGTTTTAAATTTAAAAGCTTTAATTCATTATTAATTTTTATAATCATAATATTGTTTTTTAATTTCCATTTGTACAAATTGAGTGTTGTTTAGAGAATTTTTTAAGAATTAACGAAACAATATACAATTAATAAATAAATTCCCTGCAACTTTTTGTCTTAAACTACATTTTGAAAGATGGATTATTTTGCAATTTTTCCAATAGTTTCTTATTTATTATTGAAGAAAAAACAGCAAGATTTTTTTAGCCACACTTTGCGGCTTAAAAAATGTGAATTACATCCGTTTTATAAAAAATGCAAAATTTATTCTGGCAGAAAAAAATTCAAACAAATTTCTGTGATTTTAACTGAAGGCATTTGTGTGCATAGAATTCATGAAGAAGTACAACTTTGACGGATTCGACTTGGACTGGGAGTATCCTGGCGCGGCGGACCGTGGAGGCAAGTTCACGGACAAGGACAAGTTCTTCTACTTCGTGGAGGAGCTGCGCACGGCGTTCGACCGCGAGGGCAAGGGTTGGGAAATCACGATGGCCGTGCCTTTGGCCAAGTTCCGACTCAATGAGGGCTACCACGTGCCCGAACTATGCGAGTTGACCGACGCCATCCACGTCATGGCCTACGATCTCAGGGGCAACTGGGCCGGTTTCGCCGACACGCACAGCCCCCTCTACAAAAGGCCGCATGACCAGTACGCCTACGAGTTGCTCAATGTGGTCAGTATTAAAATTAAAATATATCTCAAATAATTATAATATAAATAAGTAATAAATTAATGGTGCTTTTGATACCAAATTAAATATTAATGCAGAATGGATTTTTCATAATGCAATATATATATTTTGCCAAATAATTGAGTTTAATTTTTCAGAGCTTTCAAAACCTTATAATTTAACAGTTTTTTAATTTTATTAAAATTATTTATTTCTATAAATTTTTTTAAAATTTGCGAATATTCCTCTTTTAAATCAATTAAAATTATTTTAAAAAGGATTTTATCAAAATATCTCATGTTTTAGAATGATGGGCTTCAGTTGTGGGTGGACTTTGGCTGTCCTCCGAACAAACTGGTGGTGGGCACCCCCTTCTATGGCCGCTCCTTCACCCTTGCTCAGGGCAACAACAACTACAACCTGGGAACGTACATCAACAAAGAGGCCGGCGGCGGCAAACCTGGACCTTACACCAGAGCCAAGGGATTCATTTCCTACTACGAAGTACCTTCAAATTTTCTAGTTTTGAATTTGTAGATCTAATATTTTTTTAATTCAGATTTGCGACGCTCTGCAGAAGGAGGAGGGCTGGACCGTCAAGTGGGATGAGGGTGGCAAGGTGCCCTACACCTACAAGGACACCCAGTGGATCGGTTATGAGGACGAAAAGTCTCTAAAGATCAAGATGGACTGGATCAAGCAGAAGGGCTACGCGGGCGCTATGACCTGGGCCATCGACATGGACGACTTTACTGTTAGTCAAAAAGTTTAAAATTTTCTTGAAATTTTAATTAATCTTGTTACTTTAAAAACAGGGTGTTTGCGGCTCAAAGAATCCTCTGATTAAGGTTCTGCACGACGGAATGAAGGACTACAGGGTGCCAACCCCCACCGCTACAACAACCCCCAGGGTCAGTTTAAAATATTTAAAATTTTAAATTATTTTTGAACGATAATTGACAAAACTTTTCCAAAGTTTCTAAATAAATAAAATGACTCACCTAGGAATCTGAATCAATTCTGAAATGTTCAATAAAAAATATATTTTATCTTTGTGCAAATATTAATCAAAATTTTTAAATTTAAATTATGCTCACATTTACGTTGCCATTCTCTTTATATTTTTAACTGAATGAAATGTGAAGGAAATTAATTTTGCATTATGTTTCTTGCAGCCCGAGTGGAACAGGCCAAAGAGCACCCCCGCCCCTGCTGGAGCGCCTCCCAAGAAGCCGACCTCCGCCCCCGCAACCCCTGCCCCCACCAAAAAGCCCGTCGCCACGCCGCCCCCCGTTGTCCAAACCCAGGCCCCCGTCCAGCAGACGCAAACTCAGGCACCCGCCGTCAAACCCCCCAAACCCGCCCCCGTCTCCGGAGGAAACTTTGTTGACGCCGAAGCTGCCTGCAAGGCTGGCGCCGAGTACGCAAAACACCCTGACGACTGCGGAAAGGTAAATATTTTTTCTATGAAGTTAAAATATTGCAACAAAAAATAGGTTTAGGCCGCGTTAAAAAGTTTCCTCATAATGCTTGTGTCTTTCCTATTTAGAAAATTTCACTTTATTGTATTAATTTTTTGTTGCATTGCTATCATTTTAATTTCGTTTTTATTAATTTTACCTCATTTAATTTTATTGATTCTTATTAAAGTGTAGTTAATTATTTGTGAATTTCATTTTATGTGTTTTGAGACTTTCAAAAATTATTCTTCATTTCTTTTTTTAACTGATAATTGATTATATAAATACCGTAGATATTAGGGGTTTTGAGATCCAGTTTTTTGTCAAATTTAAAGCCACATTTTCAATACCAGAGAAGTGTATTGTTCCCTTATTTTTCTATTATATTTTCTTAATTTTATTCTGTGATTTCAGTATTTCAGGTGCGTGCACGGAAAGCCGGTAGAGTTCACGTGCAAGTCAGGCCTGGTGTTTAACCCCGAGCTGAACATCTGCGACTGGCCGGAGAACGTGCAGAGGCCAGAGTGTCCGAACAAGAGAAGCGAAAACTTGGTCGAAGAAGCGAAATCGGAAGTCGAAGGGGCTCCGACGACCGAGGCCCAGCAGGAGCAGGCCACTGAAGACATGCCCTAGCGTGCGTTTGGCAACAAATGAAAATTGTACAACTGAATCTCTGATGAGAGATAATTATAATTTCACTAAGTGTAATTTTTATAACTATTTTATAAGTTAAAAATAAATTATTTTATAAAAAAAAATAGCTATACTTATATTTTTAAATTCTCTGAATTTACAAGTTTATATTGAAGACAAACCAAATAGCTCAAAATACAAGCGAATTTTATAATATAATATCGCCCAAATTAAAACTAATAATAAATTTCTTCAAATTTAATTTTCCTGATTAAAACAGGAAAATTAAAATTAATTGATACATGTTACACCTCAAAATTTGCATAAATTGTTTATATTACAAAACGTTGTATAACGCTTTTTGAATTCTCTTTTCCTCGTTTTAATTTCGGACTTAATGGGGTGTGTCCTTGCCAAGGTCAGCGCAAAAGGGGCCCGTTCTCGTGACTCTGCCCCTTTCTCTCAAGTCTGAATCGGCCGGCAGAAAGTGTGTCTATTTCAGGCCTCAGTCTATCTTTGGCCGCCTCGCAGCGCGCGCGGCCGCTCTCTAGATCTCTTTTGGATTTGAAAAGCAAAAAGTTAATGGCTCACCGTGAGAACTCGCCCGACTTCTCGCACCCCCTGCGGGTGGTCGACGACGAGGACAGGGTGCAGCAGATGGCCCTGCTGGAGGTGCCGGGCAACGGCAGCCGCATCTCGCGACAATCGTCGGTCGCCTCGTCCCTTTCCGACCTCGCCGCCCCCATTTACTCCAGGAACAGGAGGGTGCACCAACAGGTAAGCAAATTCACGCACTTTTTTCCAAACAAAAATGTTTATCACTTTGGAATGTGGAACGAACTGAACTGCCGGTCAGGAAGGCAGGATAGGGAGAGCATCACTTGTTGCCGTAGAGAGAAAAAGGTGGGGGAAGGATTATATCCAAGATCCCAAAAATTACACCACAACTCTGATCTTTAATAAAAATAAATAATTCTACAAAATTTTAAGAAAATGTGTAAGGATGAAAAGGATCATTTTGTCCGTCACACACATGCCATGTTCAAGTATAGGCATGAAAGTTACTGACATTATAAATTATTGTTTCTCAGCAGTATTCATAATTTTTTAATTAATCTAGTAAAATCTTAAATAGACCTGAATAATAATAATTGATAAATTTAATTACCTAATTAGCTAAATTTCGTTTCAATCCATAAAAGTGATGAAGCAAAAAAATTTGACTATGAATAGAATAGAATAGAAAGGTTTTTTATTTCATTAAATTCTCAACGCATTGACAATTTTTGAAATATGTCATTAAACTTCTTCGTGATCAATCCGCTTTGAAAGTTGAATATTATTAAAAATAATATTTTAATTGATAAAATATGAATAATTTTTTTGTTCAAATTATTTTAAATCATAAAATTATACTTAAATCAAACCTTAGTTGTAAGTTCAATTTAAAAATTTTTAGGACCTCTAACTTTCTTTTAAAAATTTTGACCATAACTCCATTAGAAAATTATATTGCAGAAAGTAAAATAATATTAATGAATCATTTTATGCATCTCATCATTTTAAAATTACTTACCGAGCAAACAATTTATACTATTTCAGCACTAAACAACCACCATCCTTGAAGACGAGAACAAATTTTGTTATAAAATGACATGTTATTTTTTTTTTATCAAATTTCCCACAAACAAATGCGGAGTCTTGCCCTTGAGTAGCTTCCAAGGCGCGCAATATTATTTATTAAGTTGTGAAAAACATGATTTGCAAGCATTGGAAAATAAATGTACGATTTTATTAAATAATAAATATATACCTTGGTAAATTTGTTACTGATATAAAAGTTTTATAAAATAGATAATAATTATTCTTCCTTGATCTCATTGAAAGGAGCAGATTTACATGTTAATTCACTGGTGTCTTATTTCTTTCATGCAAACCGTTGTGTGCGAAAACACGCGTAGAACCATTGAAAAACATCTTGTTTTCGCGAATCATGTGAGATTGTTGGCCTTTTTAAAATTCTCGCCGTCGCCATCGGCCCGCAGAGGTTTATTTTCTGACCGCAACAATGAGGCAACGCAATGCAGCGGCCAAATAAGACGGGCGACATGCCAGATTTCATCCCCCAAAACAGTCACGTGGGTCAAGACAACGGAAAATAACACAGCCGTGTGATCCGCGAATCGTTAATCGCGTTAATCAAACAACTAATTGGGTCCCAATCTAAATCTGACACTGCTTCGTCTGGGTTCAACTTCGAAATTCTTACAATTTACTCCGTTCATTGTACACAACAGCAAATAGAAATAAATTTTAGGAATTTTCTTTTTTTATTGCAATTCCTAAAATCATAATTATTTTTTATCCAATGTTCAGACCTTACAAATTTATCTATTTACTTAACCTGTTGAAATTAAGAGAGAATGTTAGTTCATAATATGTATAAATTTATGTCTAATTTAGAAATTCGCCAAAAAAACTCTTTTGAAAAAGAAGTAGAATGTTATATTTATAAATATTTAGAGTAAAATTAAATGTTATTATATTAATTCAATAAATTTAAAAGTTGCCTTTAAAGGATTGAATTTTTTATAGCATATTTTATGGACAAAAAAAAAGCATTAAAAATGTTTCACAAATTCAATTTAGGCTGCAATGTGGACCGTTTCATCTGTTTCACTCTGGATTTCCTCATTTTTCTCTTCAGGTTGTTATTGCATTAAAAAAAGGAAAAAAGGAAAGCATCTTATTTTTTCCAAACATTTTGTTAAATATGATCGTCCTGAAAAAAGAAAACAAAAAATAGATCAAATAAAAATGCAATTTCCAGTAATTAATTAGAAAAATTTAAGAAAACGAATCAATTAAATTTGACTGATAGCGAAATTATTGCTTTTGCGTCATGCGAAATATTTCTGGAAATTATTTTTGGCGCTGAAATATACAAGCGGGTGACGCAAGCGATCGATGATTTGCGTGACGAAAACACCCCCGGCGGTGACGTCAGCGCCCATCGAGCGGGGGCCTGCGCCGAGAGCGACTTTCATTGGTGGGTGCGGGGGCGTGACCACCCTTGCGAGCCGAACTCACCCCATATGGTAGATTGAGTGCGTCCACAACAATCGTCGACTCAACAATCGGCAGAGCGGCCGCAGCCAACGTGCGGTGAGTGAAGGGAAATTTCACCCCTAGGGCCAAGTCAGGGGTTAGAGCAAGTTCTCAAGGGTAGGACCGGCAGGGCTAAACTATGTTAGATGGGGTCAAACCAAGGTCAAACTGACCACAGACCGGCGTAATTTTGTTTGGGGTGGAAAATTGAAAAATTTTTACTTAAAAAAGTACATTTTGTACATTTAGTTCAAGGGGGATTTTTTTCTGCTTGCAGTTTTAAATTAAATTTGTTTACTTGGCCGTGACATGTGTATGTATTTCAAGTGCTGCATGTTTTCTGTCACAAGCATGTGAACGTTTTTCAAGGTGAAATGAGTTAAAACAATTGAAAAAGCCCAGTATCACTGATTGTGTTGGTCAAATTAAAACAAACAAAATATGAGTATCAATTTATAAGAAATTTAAATATCTATTGAAAATTTTCTTGGTCATCAGTTATTAATTTCATAAATTAATATTAACCTTGATTTTTATTACTTTGTTCGTTTCATTTGAAACTTTGAGAAATAATTTTCGTTAGAAGTTTTTTATCTTAATTGTTCGACGGAAAATTTTAATTGTCTGTAGATAAATTTTTTAATTTTAAGTTTTTTTTACTATATAATGAAACTGCAACATTTTTGCAGGTAATTTTTTTATTAAATTTAATTTTTCAAGTTCAGATCATCTATGGCCCGCAATAATTCAAATCTTCAAGCCAGAGCTATAATATTTTATATTTTGGTGTTATTGTTGCTCAACATGCTCATTCCACCGTTTTTAATCAACGGTTATTCCTATGATCAAAAGAATTTTTTCTTAAGTTCGATTGTTGGAGAAAATTCATTTGAAATTTTCGTAACGAACTCTCATTCTTTCTGTGCTGCCAGAGGAGGAAGAAGAATCATGGAACCGCAGGTAATTTTGAAAAAAAAAAAATTCTCTCCTTCACCTCCTCATTACATTATTAACACACCTTTTTCCCTTTTTAATTGCCACAGAATGAGGAAAACCATAAAGTGAGTTTTTAATTTCCGCAAGAATTCTGTCTAAAATTTAAAAATAAAATTCTTTGAACGCAGGCCGAGGGAGCAGATGGAGCGGCGACTCAGGTCAGTTGGCCGCCCGACTTATGCAACCCGCGCCTATTTTGCGTCGCGCCAGTTGCATAAGCCTTGTGGATTGGTCTCGCGTTGTGATTAATATCATTTATAGAAAAGAATTTCAAAAATTAACAAACTCGCAGGAAAAACCGTCGACGGACAACGAGGCCACTCACTCCAACGCTGCCGCCAAACTCATGAAAGTGAGTATCTCCTCTAACAAAAAATTTTTATTCAAAAAATTGGTTTTTTTTCCACTAAAACTAACAAGTTCACTTTTTTCCTGCCGCTTCTCAGGACACCACCAATGGAACTCCGAAGGCTGTGAGTAAAAATTTTTTATTGAAGATTATTAGAACTACAATCAAAATTTATTGTTTTAAAATTTCTATTATTATAACAAACGCAACAAAATTGGAGACAAGTTCCCGGTGTCGAATTTGTAATCTGTAGATACTTTCAGTCAAAACCTCTACCAAAGCAGAACCAAAGTTGGTTTAATTTATTTTGAATTGGACTAAATTTGAGAGATTTTATAAGACTTAAAAGTTAATTTTTCTAAAAAAAGTTAATCAATTAACAACGATAAATCAGTTCTATGCAGGATATTATTAAAGCTTACAAATACGAACGACCAAATTTATCGTTTTGTTGGAAAAGCGTCCAACAGATGTCCTCTGAATTCAGTTGGGAACCGATTACGTTAGAAAAGAATCCAGTCTTCATCGATTCGCCAAAAAATGTTTTATGTGATGAATGATGGCCTTTTTTCTTTTGTGTACGCTAAGATGACGTCAATTGAAAAAAATCTGACCCGTCTAAAAATAAATTTCTGATAATTTATTCTGATGAAAAAAGTAAAGTCCGAAGTCTGAAATTTATATAATTTGCAGACTTGCGAGTGTTTGACGCAACTTGAGAACTTCTTCTTTTTTTTGTTATCTATAGAGCATAAAATATTTGCCGTTTTGCGCGTCGAAATGAGTTCTTTCTGTAGCCAGAGGACACACCATGCAATTTGGCTTGCGAGACGCAAATGTGCAATTAGGCTGCGCGTGACGTCTCTGGCGGCCGCAAATAAACTCTTTGTGTGACTGGCAGGTGCAAAAACTACGTTTTCGGCCGCATCACTCGGCTCGACTCAGCAAATTTATTCAAATCCTCCTCGCTCGCGTGCATCATTGCCTCCTTTTTCTTTGAAATAATGCGCAGCAGACGTTTAAATGCTATCTCTGCAAATTGGCGACGAACTTCTTCTTGAGATAAGAAGCAAGTTTTAATTTAAAAAATTTATTGCATTTCGTTCTCGAGCTGAGGCAATTTTGAAATGGTGTTGCGACTTTGTTGAGTTGCAAACGTAAACTCTTGCGATCATTTCTCGCTCGTCATCCAAGAAGGTTTTTAAATTAACTTGCAACCTGCTGGTGCTTTACGTCAGAACATTGCTATATAAGAAAATATTATTTTTTTAAACGATTTTACACGGAGAACTTGACTGTTTTGACATCAGAATTGAAGTGCCAA